TCTTACGGGTATCGGGGACCGTTTAGGCCCCCCGCAGAAGCTATTAGACTCTTCGACCGGCCGCCCCCCCCCCCTGGACCCCCCTCCCTTGGGCCGACGCCCTACCAAGGACGGAGCCGCGTGAACGCTCTTTCCTTCATCCGCCGCCCCCTGTTGTTTGCAACAGGGGTTCTCCCCTTGCACTCACAGAGCTAGAGCACTCTCTGTGCGCAGCACGCTGGTTTCCGACGAGCGCTCGGGTTGCGCACTGACACCCTTTGACGAATCAGATCAGGGACTATTCTGCGTCTAGCGAACATGTCGGTGAAGCTCTGGTGTCCGCACAAACCACTGCTGCGCGCCAGGAGGTAGCATTACGTGGGGCATGTCCTTCTACAGACGACGCTTGAAAGATATATGCAACTTGTCAAAATATGTTCGTTGATTTTACAAGCACGTTTTTGCAACAGGGAATACTATAAAATATATTCGGAGCATAGCCACGATCCGCGCTGGAGAATTGGTCTTATCCCCATTTCCGCCTTGCGTGTTTCGGCGCGCAGAACATATACGGCGCCCTGCGCACCAGACAGGGGGAGTTCCTTTTCCAACGCCGTGTAACTTATGGTCACATTTACGTCGGTACAAGAGAAGCGCGATGCACATTCAATGGCTTCGCGCTCGCCCGAGAGCGAACCGACGCTGCCGCGCACTCAGCCAGCTCCGCGCGGCTCGTTGCCACAAGGCTTACCTCGAGGACCAGCAACAGACGCAGCGTGCGCCCTGAGGGCACGCGAGGGGAGCCACCGCAAAACAGCCAATCCAAACGTGTAGACGATCCAAAGGCAAACGCTGATCGCAACGAGCGCAAATAGCAAACAACGAGAAGCGCCGCAAAATAGAAAAAAAGGCCCGCGAGGGCTGGCGAAACGCCACAAACTCGTTTTTGTTTATCGATCGCTCGGTCGATCGCTGGTCATTAAAAAACGGAGGCGGGTGCGCGGGAAAACTGGATTCATACATGATGCAAAAAAAACTAGACCTTTTTGCGTCTGGAAGTTGCGTAACCCGCGAAGGACGCATCACATGTTTGATGCGCGCGCGTTGAGAGCCTGTCCACCAACGGGGTCGGGCACGCAGAATGAGGCCGCGACGCTTCGGTGGCGCAGAGCGACGCGCTCTCGGCAACGCAGCGGCACGCTGTCCGGCCACGATGGCACCGCATCAGCAATGCGCGTCGCGCGTTTGGCAACCCTGACGCAGGGCAGCTGAACCACTAGCGATCCCACTGCGTCATAATTATGGCGCAACGGCGCGATTTCGGGCGAAGGCGGGGGGGACATTGCAACGAGATTTTCGCGTCCTCGATTAAAGGCCACGGGGCCAGTCTCAAGGTAGAGTTTTTCAGATAACACGCGGGGGCATATTGTGGAAGACTTGGAACTGTCTGTCGAAGATGGTGACGCGCAGCGTCCTGGGGTGTGATGATGTCTCGCGAATGGTCGGCGAGCGTCTCCCGCGGTGAAAACTCAGAGGTCGCTGCGGGGACAGACATGGAATATTGGGGTTTCGCAAATGGCAAGGGGAAGTCTCTGGAGTATTCTCAAAATTCGTGAATTGTACCGGCGTGTCTTTGAGGTACTTCAGAACTTCGCAAACGGCATTGGAACAAGTCTGAAACGTCGCAGATAGCACTGGGGCGTCTTTGGAGTATTCTGACATTTCGCATATGGTACTGCCGCGTGTTTGGGATCTTCTGAAATTTCGCAAATGAGTACGCGGTGACTTTTTGAATGTATAAAGATTGGAAGCGGTATTTTGTGAGTGAATGAAATCAGCGGGGTGTAACGTTAGAGTACGCTGCGCGCGCGTTGCGCTTGAAATCCTCCAGTGGAATTTTCTGCGCGGCCGGCGACCGCGCGACGTCCCGCGCAGGAGTATGTTGTGAACTCTCGGGGGACGTCGGACACTCGCTCCGGGCATCCGAGGCGCTACTTCTGCGCCGGCGACTATGCATGTCTGTCAACTGGATGACCCGACGGCGCCAGCGACGAGTGGGGCGAGCCGCAGGCTCCGCGCACTGCCTTACGACGCACGCACTGGGCCCACCGATCTGCGCTCGTGGGCATATGCAAAGTGTCGTGCACGCGCATGCGAGTTGGCATATCGCTCTGCCCTGGTCGAATGCGCCCTATACTCGGCTCCGCGCGATTCGCGCGACCACCTTGCCGACCCAATGGATGAAAATAAATGTTGCCGCGCTTGCAAATGTACACGCGGAAATGCACATGTAGCCCTAATCGCGCTTTGCCCCATCACACGCCGAATTGGACCCTGATCTACTCCACCCTATTACAACGGCAGACGCAAGCCTCCTTCTCTCTTCTACTTAAGAACTGGCGATTGTCAATATGACATGCTTACGCCGACTCCAACATTGCCCTACTCGGATACGGCTCTAACCTTATCCTGCGCCCACTTGCAGTCAAACTGACTCACGGACAACCTCCATTCCATTCCTACCGTACCCCATCTCAACTCCTACTCCACGCATATATACCCGAGGATGGCATCAACGAGGTTATTCCTTTTCCGGTCAGGATTGTCCCTCGCACAATATACACCGCGTGATTGCCGAAAAAAAGCCAAGTGCTCGAACGTGGGAAGCGCCCGTCTATGCGAGCCACTTTTGTTGAAAGGGAGTAGGGCGGGGAGGATGAACAAGGATGGCGCGCAGGAGCGAAGGGGTAAAGAGGGGTGAGGACTGGGTTTTCGCAGCGAGAACTTGAATACCAGCGGCCACAAAGACTGATCAGGCGAATGTTGTGGACGCGCGTAACAAGTTGGAAAAAGCAAGGATCCAAATCAGCAAGGCCACCGCGGGCTGCCCATATGATACTCGTCGAATTGCTCGCGCCGCACGCAAATCTAATCGCAGCGACGCGCTGCCCAGTCCACGTTGGTAACGCGCGGTCGACTCTCATTGTGCACGTTGCACAAACCACGAGGCCATACACGCGCGCCTTGGCTAAAACGCGATAGCGCGCGCTGCCGCCACCAAATGCGGCGAAACAACTAATGGTGGCGCCGCGCGGCGCATCGTGTTTTCCAACCAGGTGCATCGTACGTTCGCCTAGCCAGTATCCAAACAACTATGTCCAGACTATTGCTAGCGTATTTTGGACACAGCATGACAAATCGCCACAATACTATTTTCCAAGATTTTCACGATTCATCCTGAAGAGGGATGCACCCGACTTAAAAGCAACACGATCCCGTCGGGGCCAACATGGAATCACCCAAGCAAGCAGCCTGCATCACAGAAGAGTCAGCGAAATGCGCTCGACATCTGAAACTCGAATGCGTGCAACAATACACCATCGCCACGGAAATGTGGCCCAGCGATCGGAAGTTATACATATATATATATATATATATGAAAGAGGGCAATCACTCGTCAGATCTTCCTCATCCGCCTGCATCCATCTAAAGCCGCTTCCGCCTCCTGCTCCTCCTCCACCCACCTCGTCATTCTTCCTCCCTCCTGCCCCAATGCATTCCTATATCTGAGATCAAATAACGAAACTGGCTGTCCTCCACCACCCTTCATCATACTCTTCCGCTTCCTCGTGGCAAAAAGGCCTCCCAGCGTTCGCCACGACCAGAGGAGGCTAGGAGGAGGGAGAGGAGAAGGAAAACGAGGGTGACTTCAGTAGACCCTCATTGGGACCCACGGGAGATCGTTAGAGGACTCCCAAAAATGTTTGTGGCACTCATCTCTGAGCTGGCTGGTGGGGACACGCGGTGCATGCACACTAGTGCGCTGCGCACCGCCTTCTGCATCGGAAGCCTGCGGCAGATCACCTTGGGTGCCCCATGCGCCGTTGCACCTCTGAAACTCTCTCGCTCCCTGACACTCTTGCTTCTCCAATGCTCACTCATTCCGCAAGGCCGGGGCTCGCCACAGACATGAGGAGCATCACGGACCAATTGCTCCACGCTCCATCCCCTGCGCGCGGCGCAATCCCTCTCGAAGCAGCACTTCCGAGAAACGCACAGTGCTGCCCAGGCGGACGCAGAAGAGGAGGAGAAGGAGGAGGAGGAGGAAGAGGAGGAGAAGGAAGGGCCCTGGCAGGCATACAACGGGAATGACCATAAGTACGAGGACCCCCGCAGGTGGGAGACAGACGGGGGGGTCAGCATGAGCAGAGCGCTTGCCAGCCAGAAGAGTTGGCGGAAGGAGGAATCCCCCGCCGGCCGATTCAGGGCCATCGGGCTGCGTGAACTGGCCTCCCTGGCGCCCTGCGACACATCTGACCCCCAGGGTTGCAGCTGTGCAGATGCTCCCCCTTCTGCGGGGGTCCGCGCTGCGGCTCACAAATCACGACGCCGAAGCTCTGGGGCAAAACGGCGCTGCCCAGGGCCTCGCCATCGCTCGGACGTCCATTGCCCGTGCATTTGTCGATTTCGCGCGCGTGTTTCCTTGCTCGATAATCCAGGATGCTCATCGATGGCCCCCGCCGAAAAGCACTGCACACGCCCGAGCGATGTCAAGCCCAGTGTTGCAGCTGTGCAGATGTCTTGCTCTCGGTGGAGGCCCGCGCTGCGGTCCCCGCGCGGCAACAGAACAAAGACCACGACGCCAAAGCTCTGGGGCAAGGCGGCGCTGCCCCTCGTCGTCGTCGAGATCGTGGTCGAGGGGCTCGCCAGGGCGCCCCTGGGGCGGCTGCGGCTGCGGCGCGCGGCCGCGCCACACCCGGGCCCGGGGAGCCCCGCCTCGCGCAGGGCGCCCCGCGCCGCGCGCCGCGCGGGCGGCCGGCGGCGGCCCCGGCGTGGCGGCGCGACCGCGCGGCCGAGGCCGCTCCAGGGCCGAGGCGCAGGTCGGGCGAAGAGTCCGAAGAGGTTCAAGGGATAGCCAGAGGAGCACGGGAGAGCGTCCCCAGACTATCTCTGTTGACTGTTCTCGATGTCCCTCCTGCAGAGGGGCACGCCCGACTGAAGCCGAGGCCGCCCGCGCGGGGCGCCCCGCGGGCCCCCTCGGCGGCCGAGCCCTCTCGTCGACCGCCGTGCGCCGTGCGGCCGCCGCCGCCGCCGCCGACGACGATGGACGACGGGACGGCGGTCGCTTCGTCTCTCATGCCCCTCCGCCACGGGGCTCCCCGGCCGCCTGCTCGAGGGTTGTGCCGCGCTGCTTTCTCGGTGGCGGGGCGCTGTTCAAGGGGAGGGAGGGGGGGGGCGATGCATGGGGGTCAGAGGAACGTGCAAAGGTTCGTGCCCCCGGGCCCCAAGGGGGGGAGGGCATTGAAAGCCCCTACGGTGCGCAAGACGTTCACCGTTTTCGGCACTCCATCTATCACCCCCCAAGTGCGCAACGCCCGAGATGTGTGTCTTTCTTAGGATGTGGGGCACACGCACGCGCCGCGCCCGAGCTGGAGCGCAACGTTCAAGAATTGGTGTGCGCAGCGCACGGGCCAAGACAACGCGTCGCTCCGCCAAGTTTCAGGAAACATTGAGAATCGCATGGGCGAACAAGAAAGCATCGCTTCTCGCGCACCATGTGTGCCGCTTCCCCCCGCTCCTGCCACCCACACCCCCGACGTCGTGATTTGTTCATGACGTGGATCTCCAGAGGTCTGAAACCCTTCCCGCTGATCGGCGTTACGTCCCGAGCTGTTTTTGCGACGGTCCCAGGGCCTGGCGAGGCCCCCAGAGGCCGAAATAGGGGGGAAAAAAAAACATGATTTTGCCACGACGCGAAGGAGTCTGGGTGTGCACTACGCCCCTTCCTGCTGCAGCTGCTGCGCGGCTGCGGCGGGAGCCAGGGCATCACGCCCGCCGCTCGTTCGTGTGAGGGTTGCTGTTGCGCTGCCTCGTCGTCGTCGTCGTCCTCGCGACGGTGACGGCTGTCTCACTCGTGGCGGCCGAGCTGACGGGGCCCGCCGGGGGGCGTGGAACGACTGCCCGCCGCGCGCTGCTTGCTTCCGTGAAACTTGGCGGGTGCCCCCTGGCCGCGCTGCTGGAGAGACAGGGCCAAGGAGCTCGACGTGAGCGCAACGTGCAGCGCCGCACTTGAACTGGCAGGACCTGGACGCGCCGCTGCTTGATCATCTACCTCTACGTGTGATATGGAAAAACACGCACGTAGAGCGCAAGCACAGTGGGGGTCACATGCGGCGCAGTCGCTGGACCGTCGGGGCCGGGCACCTCTTGGCATGAGGGGGGAGGGAGGCGGAGGAAGGCGGGGCGAAGGAGGCGAGAGGAGGAAGTCGGGACGAGGAAGGCGGGAGAAAAGACAGAGAGAGAGAGAGAGAGCGAGAGAGCAGGAGGAGCAGGAGAAGGACAAGGACAAGAGCAAAGATAAACCTCCTGGAGTCCGGGCTCAGTTCACAAACAAAACGACACCGAGAAAAACGAAATTGTACTCTGAGAGGGTTCCTTCTGAACCACACAACTTACGTTGCAAGCCCTGCAAGAGCTCACAGCACTAACTGCACTGGCCGACTGGCACCCCGATCGGCACGCAACTCGCAGAGGGGGCCAGTACCTCAGTCGCGAAGATCCCTTCCCGTCCCCCACTCAGCAGAGCTCACCCCCAGCCCCACCGCCTTAGAGTGTCGGCCTCCTCGGCCACGATTCGAAACTGCTGTGGCTTTCAGCGCTGGGTCCGTCTCTGCCGCCATTGGCTTGGTCGCGCAATACTCAAACACCACCATGAATATCATCAGGTGCGGGGGTCCGCGATCTCTGTGTAACTCCTCTTCGCCAACGTCGGTGCGCTTGAGCATATATTTGCTCTGCACGTCGTATTGCGTCCGTCCTGCCGCGAGAGCGGCTGCGATCGTGTCCACGCCAGCGAGCAACAGATACCGAAGACAACACGCTGCTCCGAGGTCTGCCACGTCAAGAGAGTTAGCTAGAACGAGCTTGCATATCGCCATTATGAGAGTGTCGCCTTTGACTTTGAAACCCCCTGGTTGACGAACCAACAACACACACCCATACCCATAGGGGGATCGGAGAGGGCTATGGGTGCGCGTTGTCGGATGGGGGTCCCCGCTCGAACGGGAGCGTTCCCCAGGGTCCGACAACCCGCACCCATACCCATAGCCAGTCCTCCTCCCAACGACCTCCCTATGGGTATGGGTGTGTGTTGTTCGTTCGTCACTGGTCCGCTCGACTCCATCTTGCCATCCTTGCTGTCGGGCGCGGTGACTACCGAACCTGCCGTCGCGCCTCTCCAAGCGCTGCACCACGCAGGACGCAGGAGCACATACTGCGGCAACGATGGTGAATAGTCCAGCATCCAGTACGGTACGAGTTGAACTGACGGGGCAATTTGGGCAGGAAGAGGGCTTCGAGATGACAGGAGGACGAGGGGGACCACGGGGGGGCTACGATGGGGACTACGGAGAGCGCCAGGAGGAGGAGTAGGACGACGGCGACATCGATGACGACGACGACGACGAGTTCGAGGAGGACAAGGAGGAAGAGGAGGAGGACATAACTAGGAGAACAGCGTACATCGGACGGTGGTGGAGTGCGAGGAAGACGACAAGAGGCACTAGGAGCACAAGAAGGAGGAAGACCAGGATGACGAGAAGGGCAAGGGGAACAGCGTGGATACAAAGAGGACAGCGAGGAGGAGGAGGAGGAGGAGGAGGAGGAGCACGAGGACGAGGAAGACAAGAGCTAAAGAACGAGGCGGGCGAAGAGGACCAGGTGGAAGTGTGCGGCTCGTCGGGCAATTCTGGGCCATCGTGGGGGGCAGATCTCGGAAACTCTGGGCGGAGTCGGAATGGGCGCAGGGACAAAGGCAGGAATAGGAGCACACGCAGGACAAGGATTTTTAAACCCGCGTGTTCCCGCCCGCGAGTGGGTGCCCCTGGTCTCGTCACTCCGCGCAGGCCGAAGGCACGCAGGACAAGGATGAACACGCGCAGCAGCAGCAGCAGCAGCAGCACCGAAGGGTGGGGAATGTAGAGAACTCAGCGATGCCATCAACATAGCAACTCGGATGTCTGCCCAACTTTCCTGGATCGGCGCCGGGCCCCCTGGCGGCGCCTCTCGCGCGCCAGACAGGGGGGGCCCAGCGCGGCTCCCGGAAATCTGCGCGGACCTCCCAATTGCCATGCGTATGTCATGCTTCGTCCCCGAAGGGAGCCAGGAGGTGCCGATACCCCTACTCTCGGCGGTGGACAAACCTCCCTCTAGTAAACCTCCCCTTGGTGAAGACGGCCGTGGGACCGAAACCGACGGACCTGGATCCGCAAAAATGACGGCCGCGACGCCCTCTCGCGAGCCGAAAACGGCCAATTCACTAATCGAGTGTATCAGGGCAGGAGGCCTATCAATCTCCGATACTCCCTGGACCTCTCCCCCGGTGCGCTCCGACCAGGCCGCCGAGGCGAAGGCAGCCGGGAGGCTGCGAGGGCCTGCCGGGAGGCCCAGATCGCGCGAGAAAGCGAGGCAAGGGCGGTGCTCTCGGTGGCTTCGGGCGCAGCGGCTCTGCCCCCACGGGAGGGGCTCGGCTTGAAACTACTCGGCGGCGAGCGAAAGGGGGGGGAGGGGAGGGGAGGCCTTCGGAGAAATGCGCTGCGTCTCCGGGGAGAGCTCAGGAGACTTCTCGGAACGCCGGGGGGCCTGCGGGCCTTCTGAGAGGGCCCGCCCCGTCTCCCTTCCCCCTCGGGCTGGCGGCCGAATGACACTACGCTTGCTTGGTCGGCTGGGGCGAAGCTCGGTGGTACCATCGCCACGGCTCCCAACCTGTGGGACGACGCTGGAGCGTCTGCACACTGAATTCCGTCGCCGAACTTTCTTTGCCCCCTGGCGGGCCAAACGGCGTGACGTATAGAGCACATATCTCTTTACACATACGATTCGCGATATCGCCCGTGACCAGCCACGCTCCCTCCTCTCCCCCCCCCTGGTCACGTCACGCTTCACGCCGCCGCCGTCTGAGCATGAGCACCCTGCCTGCACCCGAGACGGCGCCGGCGCGAAGCGTGACGTTCGGCTACACGCAAGAGTGACCCTGGGTAAGAGTGATCTTTGGTGCGCGGCTTCTCGGGGGGACCAAACCTGGGCGCGCAAGCCGCTGCTCCCGCTTCGCTTCCAGCCCTCCGGGGACCCGCCTTTGCCCGCATCCAAAAAAGGGTCACTCCGGCGAAAGGCCACTCTTACGTCCAGTCGAGACGTGTTTGGACGCCCGAAATGGGTACGGAAAGAATGGGTACAATGCCCAACAACAAATGTTGTCCCAAACCAACAGCGGCCGCTGTCGGGCAGGCGGCCTTCTGCCTCAAATTGACACAGGCCGCGGCGGCGTGGACAGCGAGTCCTGTTCAAAATGAACAAGAACTGCTGTTGGGCATTGTACCCATTCGTTACGTGCCCATCTCGTTCGTGCAGAACGTGACCAGCGCCCCACAGCCCCAGGCCACGCCCGGAATCGCCACTGGATGGAAGAACGGCCTCACACGTCGAGCCCCTCCGCGAGCTCCTCCCCCCCCCCTCTCGGAGCCCGCCGCCGGGCGGTCTGCTCTTCGACTTGTCGGCCACGAGGCGCCGGTTCTCGGCCTCCGCGGGGGCAGGGCGCCGCCGCGCCGCCGCGGGCCCCGAGAGGCGGGGGGGGGGGGAAGGGCGAGGAGGGCACGCTGCATGCCGCGCGTGCTGCTGCTGCTGCTGCTGCTGCCACTGCTGCTGCTGCTGCCGCTGCCGCCGCCGCTGCGCCTGCGGCCCTCTTGTTGGTTCTGTTGCTCCGGCGCGATCTCTGGGACGCGGCACTGGCCTTCGCTCGGACGTCCATTTCCTGTGGTTTTTGTTGGTTTCGTGCGTGGTCTTTTCGCCAAATGATCAAGGATGCTCCTCGATGGTCCTCGCCGAAAGAACCATTCACACGTCCGAGCGATGGCGAGGGCACCGTGGCGCGGCCGCGCGGGTGCCCTGCGTGCGACCGACGCGGTATCGAGGGCAGCGGGGCGAGGCCCACCACAGGGGGCCATCGAGCGTGCTCCAACCTACCTGTTGTTCATCCCGGCGGGGCCACGAGACCCGGAACGCAAGGAGCGGTGGTCAGCAGCAGCGAGCGGAGGCACAACATAAATCGTCACAGACCTGGAAGTTCTCGACATACCCCCGGACCTAGGACAGAATCACATCCAAAAAGAACACGAGAGCCTCCGACGGCCGAACTGAGGATCCATCGAGGGCACCCTCCCCCAGGACGCAGAACAAAACATCCACCGAACACGAAGCACGTTAGGGCATCCTCCCCGATCCGACCTCGATCTTATACCTTGGTCCGACCTTGATGTCTACATTGTTTGCCATTCCTCTCCATATCCAAGCTCTGCCAATAGTTTCATTACAGGAGCCGCGTTCAATCCCAAATCCGAGCTTGCCTCTGTAGGGGTCCTAGCGCATTCATATGGTTATGTGAGGTGTGTCAACGATTTCCGCGGCCCGTCCAGGTGCCCGGGTGCCCGGGTGCCGTAGCCCTATAGCATTGGAGCCCTATAGCCTTAAAGCCCTATGGGCCAATAGCCCTATAGCCCTATAGCCCAATAGCCCTATAGCCCTGTAACCTTATAGCCCGATAGCCTTGTAGCCCGATAGCCCTAGAGCCCTATAGCTCTATCGCTACATAGCTCCACAGCCCTATAGCCCTATAGCATATAGCCCTATAGCCCTATAGCCCAAAGGCCCAATAGCCCTACAGCGTTACAGCCCTATAGCCCCAGAGCCCTAGAGCACTATAGCTCTACAGCCCAATAACCCTGTAGCCATATAGCCCTATAGCCCTGTATAAGCATAGCTCTGTATGCCTATAGCCTTATAGCCCTATAGCCCAATAGCCCCATAGCCCAATAGCCCTATGGCCCTAGGGCCCATTAGCCCGATAGCCCGATAGCCCTATAGCCCTGTAGCCCAATAGCCCAATAGCCCTGTAGCCCTATAGCCCTGTAGCCCTATAGCCCAAGAGCCCTATAGCTCTACATGCCTATAGCCCAATAGCCCTATGGCCCTAGGGCCCACTAGCCCGATAGCCCTGTAGCCCAATAGCCCAATAGCCCTGTAGCCCTATAGCCCTGTAGCCCTATAGCCCCAGAGCCCTATAGTTCTATATGCCTATAGCCCTATAGCCCTACATCATTATAGACCTATAGCCCTATCGTCGTATAGCCCTGCAGCCCAATAGCCCTATAGCCCTGGGGCCCAATAGCCCCATAGCCCTATAGCCTTGTAGCCCAAAGGCCCAATAGCCCTGTAGCCCTGTAGCCCTATAGCCCTATAGCCCCAGAGCCCTATAGTTCGATATATGCCTGTAGTCCTATAGCCCTATCGCCCTATAGCCCTATATCCCTATAGCCCTATGGTCCTGTAGCCCTATGGCCCTTTAGCCCTATAGACTCATAGCCCTATGACCCTACAGCCCTATAGCCCCATAGCTCCGTGGCCCTATAGCCCTGCAGCCCTATAGCCCTATGGCATTTTAATCCAACAGCCCTACAGCACTATAGACCTATAGCTCTATGGCCCTATAGACCTATAGTTCCATAGCCCTATAGTCTCATAGCCCCATCGCCCTACAGCCTTATAGCCCCATCGCCCTATAACCTTAAAAAGAATTTGATTGGGGCTTTTCTCCGTATCATACTTGTTGGTGATTTGTTCCCCCCTCCTGAGCCGACAGCGGCCGCCCGACCCTGCGCCAGCGGCATGCGAGCAGCCCGCGGCAAGATCCCGCTGCCAGAGGCCTCCCAAATGGGGTCCGAGCAGGTGGGGTCGCAGGATCACGCCACATCGCCGATGCATCGCCGATGCGTCGGCGATGCGGCGGCGACGCCAAGAGGTGACTCGGCGACGCCGGCGTGGAGAAGATCGGGCTCCACATTGACCGGAGCCGCCCACGCATTTGCGAGGCGGCTCAATCGTTCGACCCCGTCCAGTCCGACCCCATCCCGTGCTGGGGTATTGGTCCATGTGCTCGCTCCCTCGAGAGCACAGCAGCGCCGTTCTGGCCTCCGCCGCGCGCAGGTCGCCCCCAGGAAGACTGCGCTTCCGTCTTGCTTGGCCCGGCGCACGCTGTCCATCCGCCACGACCATCGGGAGCGGGGTCGCGCGCCATCGACAGGAATGTTCGGGCGGGCGGTGCTGTGGGGTGACCTAAATAGGGGGGGGAGGAAAGGACCCGGGCCCCTTTTCGTGCCAGCAGGGACCCAGAAAAGGGCCCTGAGGTGCCCCTTCGGGGCCCTTTTCTTCACCCCGTACCGAGGTCACCCCCCAGCACCACCCGCCCAAAATGTTGGCCTCGCCCACTTCCAGGATGCCTCGAACGATCCCGCTGCGCCCTGATGGCACGCGCCTGCTGGCCAACCACGGAGCGCTGTTGGCGCGCCGTTGGCCGGGCGACGCCGCGCGCGCCGCGGGCGCGGGCCAGCCGCTGCGAAGGGGCGGCGCTGCTCGCGGTCCACGTCTGGACCGCCTTCCCGGCGTCGTGTCGCCGGGCCCCCCGTCACAGCATGTTCCTGCTGCCGCTACTCCTTGTCCTCGTCCTTGTTCTCGTCCTCGTCCTCCTCGTCCGCCGTTCCTCTTCGTCGTCGTCCTCCTCATCCTCCGCCCCCTCGCCATCATGCAGTTCATCTCCCACCCTCCTCGCCCTCGACAGGAGGAGGCCCTCCTCGAGCTTCTCTTTTTGCTTCTCGACGGTCTTAACGTACCTCGCCGCAGGGGGGGTGGCGTGCTTCCGCTTGCCGCGCGTCCCTGACGACGGGAGGTCTCGACTTCCCCACACCCCCCCAAGAAACCCATCCCCCGATTATGTTGTTCCCTCTCTCCCTGTCTTCTTGGTATTATCTCTATGCGTCCCTCTCTCGTTTTCGGTTCGTACATATATATACACATATATATATATATCCCTCTCTATATGTGTATGTGTGTTTCGTTATGTATATACTGTTATGTCTATATATATATATGTATGTTGATATATCGCTCTCCTTTTTTGTTATCTCTATATACTATATATGCAATCTCGCTATATACAGCGTCTCCACATGTGTGCACATGTTATACATATATAAATATATATATATATATATATATATATATATATGTATATATATGTACATATATATAAGTATCTCTCTCTCTCCCTCTGTGTCTCTCCTCCACTCGCTCGCTATATGTGTGTAATAATGTGTGTGCAATGTTCAAACAATGTGCTCTACGTGTCGTACCCCTCGATATTTTTTAATGAACGCGCACATGTATATATATACATATATATATATACATATATAATTGTATCCATACATGTGCGTACGCATGTATGTTGGCCAACGCGGGGCCAAAGAAAGTGGCTTCCTCGAAACGGCGCGGCAAAACCTAGGTGGCGCAAACAACGTGGTACAACCTAAATGGTGCAACCCGCGTGATCCAATTGTTCTCCCGGACAAACGAAGCACTTAAATCTGCACCGCGGGACCAGCGCAACCACCACCCGATCTACTGCTACGGCTAAGTCTGCAATGGAGCCTGAAGCAAAACTGGACGATCGCATTGCGAGCGCAACCCCGACGGCCTCCAACCGTGTACATACGACACAGCGAAAGCCAATCGCAAGGCCGATCGCATCGCTACCTGCGTCGGCGGCTCTGGCGCAGCGACGGAAGCACATCGCCACGCGGTGGACAGCAGCAGCACGAGCATGAGGAGGGCAGGCAGCAGAGAGGAGCGGGGATGCCAAACGGGAAGGGAAACAGCAGCAGCGCAGGCAAGGCAGAGAACGGCAGGGAGAGGAGCAGGAGAGTGAGATGGAGAGGAGGCAGCAGAGCAAGAGGGAGGGAGGGTGGAGGAGGGAGGGAGCCCAGGGCGAGCCACGCGCAGCAACAGGGGACGGGAAACGAGAGAGAACTGCCGGTTAAGTGTGACGCGTGACGGAAAAAAGGTTTTCGGAAGCGCGCGCCGCCTGCCCCGCAGAGGAGACCTCGGCTGTGCACAGGGGCGGCAAGGGCCACCGAATCGCGTTGGTCACGTGCATAAAGGGGCCCTGGGACACACAAATAAATATACACAAATAACAAGGTTCCCCTTATTTTCCCATATTTTCTGGGTTTTTGACTTCCCCCCCACTTCCCATATTTTCCCATATTTTCCTGGGAGTGGACGAATAATTGTGCCCGTGTTTTTTCCCGTCCTGAGTGCAAGCATGCAGGGGAAGGAAAAGGCCGGAGCTCTGCCCGCGCGAGCGGGGCCGGCGGTTGCGCCCCCGCAAGAAAAGCAGAGGGAGAGAGGGGGAATGCTGCTCGGTCGACGACCGCGGCCGCCCGCAATGCAGCCGTCGGGGGCACCGGTGCTGTCCTGAAGCGCGAGTCCTGCGGAGGCGGCGCCCGAAATGGGTACGGAAAAAATGGGTACGATGCCCAACAGCAAATGTTGTCCCAAACCAGCAGCGGCCGCTGTTGGGCAGGCGGCCTTCTGCCTCGAATGGACACAGGCCGCGGCGGCGTGGACAGCGAGTCCTGTTCAAAATGAACAGGAACTGCTGTTGGGCATTGTACACCCTGCGAAATGCTTAAGAAATCATGGGTTAAGAAATTCATAGTCTCAGAACTTGGATACAAACCCAACATTTCCATTGAAATCTTAGGATTCACATTGAAACGTTAAGAAAAATCGAGACTCTGGCCGAAAACTTGAGTTTTCTTAAGCATCGCCCAAGGTGTACCCGTTCTTTCCATACCCATTTCGGGCGTCACGGAGACGGCTCAATCGATCGCAGCGCGCTCGCCCTGCCGACGCCGGTCCAATTCCCATCAAGGCATCGAGCGTACGATTACAGCAGTGCAGCGCAATGCAAGGCAGCACAAGCCAACGCAACGCGGTGAAGTTCGATGGAACACAACGCAGTGCAAAGAAATGCGACGTCATGCACAGCAGCGCAGTTCGGTGCAACGAAACGCAAAGCAAAGCAACGTAACGAAATGCAGCACTATGCTAAGCAATGGACAACACTGCAAAGCAATTCGATGCAAAACATTGCAACGCAATGCAAAGCAACGCGCTGCGATGCAAAGCAACGCACAGCAACAGCATCAATACAACTCGATGCAAACCAACGAATGCACTGCAACGCACAGCACTGCAACACAATGCAGCGCAATGCCAAGCAATGCAAAGCAATGCAAACCAACGCAGCGACATGCAACACACTGAGCAGCACTGCAACGCAATGCAAATCAACGCAAAACCATGCAGAGCAAAGCAAATCAATGCGACGCAATGCAACTCAACGCAATGCGATGCGACACAATGCGACGCAGTGCGACGCAGTGCAACGCAATGCGAAGCAATGCAGAATGCAAGGCAATGCAACATGCAACGCGTTGCAAAGCAATGCGAAGCAATGGAAGGTGATCGCAGTTCGAAACAATTCAGCGGCGAAGGCGGCAGCGGACGGCGACGATCCGGCCCGACCGCCACCGGGACTCGGCTACCAACGGCGACGGCGGCGGCGACGGGCGGCACCGAGCCGGCCGGACCACCACTCGGGCTCGAATACTTGCGACGACGGCAGCGGCGGCGGGCGGCGGTGAGCCGGCCGAGCCGCCGCCCAGGCTACCTCAGAAACCAAAGCATCCACCTCGAGCTCGAACGCAAGCGCCCAATAATAACGCAGCCGTGCATCCAGAGAGGCCGTGCACCCCCGGCCATGAGATCCCCCCCCCATGGTCATCACCCCCCCCCGCTGTGCGCCGCCCCCGAGAGTAGCAGAGGAAGCAAAGCCGGGGCGGGCCGCTCCGCGCCCGGCCCCCCGATCGTTCGGCTGTGTGACAACCTGCCATCGATCGGGGGGCGGCCACTGCCTGGTGTCGTGTGGCTTCGTGAGTGTTTTCTCCGAGGTGGCCCAGATTAGGGGGCCACATGCGAACCCTACCCCTACCCCCCCCCCCTCAGAAGTCGTGGGGGGTAGGGGTAGGGTTCGCATGTGGCCCCCTGCAGGTGTCCTGCCGCTGGCCCTGCCGAGAAAGACGCACGCGCCCGAACGCGGGGCGATGCCAAAGTGTAGGCGAGGGGCGAAGGAGAGCGTGCGCCTCTCCGTGCAGCAGCCGGGCCCGCGGTGGCACTTTTTGGGGGCCGCTCGGGAGGCTCGGGGCCTCTTTGGGACCACACTTCCCTGAAGTCCTCGCTCCACCGACGATTGTCCCCCTGCTTATAGAGGCCTCCAAATATGAAGGGGCCCTGGGACACACAAATAAATGCACACAAATAACAATCTTCCCCACATTTTCCCAGATGTTCTGGGTTCTTGTCTTTCCCCCCCACTTCCCATATTTTCCTATATTTTCCGGGGAATCGACGATTAATTGTGTCTGTGTGATTTTTCCCCTCCTGAAAATAGGGGTCCGAGCAGATGGGGCGGGAGCATGGCACCGCATCGCCGATCAATCGCCAGTGCTTCGGCGATGCATCGGCGGCGTCGGCAATGCATTGGCGCCGTCGGCGTGGAGAAGGTCGGGTACCATCGAGCTGGGTCGGCGATGCATCGGTGATGCAGCGCACATCCTCCGACCCCGTCTGAGCCGACCCCATCTGGGAGGCCTACAGTAGGAGCTCGACCAGAAGAACCCTTCCACACGACACCCGACCCTGAGACACCCAGGAAGTCCACTGATGTTTGATATGCGGCAGCGTCACGCCGTCCGCAAGAAAACAGGGAAACGGTACCCGAGAACTCCAGGGCACCCTGGAGGCTATCGGGGTGGTTCTTTTTGGACGCCCGAAATGGGTACGGAAAAAATGGGTACAATGCCCAACAACAAATGTTGTCCCAAACCAACAGCGGCCGCTGTTGGGCAGGCGGCCTTCTGCCTCGAATGGACACAGGCCGCGGCGGCGTGGACAGCGAATCCTGTTCAAAATGAACAGGAACTGCTGTTGGGCATTGTACCCATTCTTTCCGTACCCATTTCGGGCGTCCAGATTCTTGGCATGGGTTTTTGTTCGCCCCAGGCCGCTGCCGCCCGCCCGCCTCTCCCAGGGAACGCCCGCAGCCCTCCGCGCCGCATGCCTGGAGGGCACCCTGGAGGCAATCGGGGTGGCTCTTGGCATGGGCTTCTTCGCCCCAGGCCGCTGCCGCCCGCCCGCCTCGCCCAGGGAACGCCCGCGGCCCTCCGCGCCGCCTGCCCGGAAGGGGGGGGGGCGGCCCGAGCCCGGCACGCCCTCGCGTCGGCGGCGGGGCCGGCCCCCCCCCGCGGCCGGGCGGTGGGTCACGCCGAGAGGTCGTCGTACTTCTGCTTCAGCGAGTCGAACGTCTGCGCGGCGGGGCCCCCCTCTCTCCGCTGCCTCCGTCGCCGTCGCTCTCTGGGGTCGGGCCGGAGGCTCTGTGAGAGCAGTGGCGACGGGGTGCCCGGGAGCTGGGCGCAATTGGCCCGCAGGCGCCGAGGGCGACCGCCGTCCACGACGCACCCCGACTGGATTCGAGTGTGCACCATCACGCCGGAGACAGACTCTGCCTACGCGCCTGCCAGGGATGCCAGGCCACAGTCCTTGCCGTCGCTCGGACGTCCATTCCCCGTACATGTTTCGGTTTCGTGCGTGTTTGTTTGGCTCGATGGTCCAGGATGGTCCTCGATGGTTCTCGCCGAGAAAAAATGCACACGTCCGAGCGATGCCAGGAGTCAGTCAGTGAGTCAGTGAAGCGGCGGGGCCGAAACACAGTGCACGCAGCAGATGTCGTCCGACCCGACAGGACGTCGAGGCGGGCTCGGCATCGCGAGGGCGCCGAGGGAGGAGGCACGCGGCCCAGGCAGAACGGCAGAGCGGGCGGCCATCAGCGGCGACGACGGCAACAGCGGAGCAAGAGACGGCGACGACGACGGCACGACGCGAGACGACGAGACCGAGGAGGATGAGCGGGGAGGAGGCGATGAGCGCGGAGGATGGGATGAGCGGGGAGGAGGCGGAGGAGGAGGAGGCGGAGGAGGAGGAGGCGGAGGAGGAGGGGGAGCAGGAAAAGGAGGAAAAGGCACAGAACAGAACACTCGCAATCAAGATGAAGAGGAGGAGACGCAGGATGAGGCGGAGGAGGAGGAGGAGGAAAACAGGAAGCGTGAGCAGGATCGGGCGGATGGTAACGGGGGGTTACCTGAACGGGGGGTGAATAGAAAGGCCCCTTCAGACACCTTTTCCGCACCCGCAATTTGAGTCACCTCCTGCCCGTCTCCTGCCCGCCCGTCTCCTGCCCGCTCCTGCTCACGCCTCCTGGTCTCCATCCCTTTTCCTTGTAGATAACTTCTCCCCGTCGCACCCCGCACCCCGAGACTTCCTCAACATGTATGGCCCTGAAGCTTAAACATTGGCAAATTTCACACATGGAGGGCGGGTCGTTTTCAAAATGTGGCTCTCGCCCTGGCGCCGCGAACATTCGTTTTGCAAATGTGCAAGACTTTCACGGATTGAGGGCGACGCGTTTTCAAAATGTGGCTCTCGCCTTAGGGCCGCGTTTCGCACATTGAAGAGTTTCAGGGATTGAGGGCGGTTCCTTTTTCAGAATGTGGCTCTCGCCTGCGCGCCGTGCACACTCGTTTGCAGTTCCCATGATCAGCCTACCAGAAATGGTGCTTTGAAAGGATTCTGAAGTATGAGGGTGCTCCAGTTGCGTTGTTTCGCGGTGTCGAAGTCCCACGGATGGCGTTCTGTCACGATTCAGGATCGTCAAGGCGCAACAGGCAGATTGATCCGTGGCGTTGGAAGCCCGAGGACAGTGTTTTGGCATACTGCAGGGTCTTCAAACGGCTGCATTCCAAAGAGGCAGTTCCCTCAGTGGAAATGAACCGTTGTGGGGGCCCATGAAAAGGGAGCTTGGAGGGAGGGTTTATTCCAACACCGTTGATGACTCTTGGGCTTACACGGCCAACTCCTCCTCCTTTCCATCCCGCGCCTCCTACTCCTCCTCTTTATCCTTCGCCTCCTCCTCCTCCTCTTCCGCCTCCTCCTCTTTATCCTGTGCCTCCTCCTCCTCCTCCTGCTCCTCCTCCTCCTTCTCACCCCCCCTGTTAGCCCCCCCCCCCCGTTACCACCCGCCCGCAGGAGCCTCCCGCTCGGAGGGCCCCACCTGCCCCCCCCCCTCCGGCCCCCGCGCAGTGCCGCCGTAGGGGTCCCACGGCGGCGCCCCCCCCCCGCTACGCGGCCCCGGAGTGGTTTGGGAGCCCCTCGGGCCTCCTCCCTCGGGGGGAGAGAGAGAGAGAGAGAGAGAGAGAGTGAGAGAGAGAGAGAGAGAAAAAAAAAAAAAAAAAAAAAAAAAGAGATAGAGAGAGGGAGAGAGACAAGGAGAGACAGGGAGAGACAGGGAGAGAGAGAGAGAGAGAGAGAGAGAGAGACAGGGAGAGACAGAGAGAGACAGAGAGAGGGAGGGAGAGAGAGGAAGAAAGAGAGAGAGAGGGAGAGAGAGAGAGAAACAAATAAATAGAGAGAGAGAGAGAAAGAAAGTTGCCTACGTCCTACGTCCCTCTCCCTCTCTCTCTCTCTCTCTCTCTCTTGACGCCATAGAGCAGCCGCAGAGGCGGCTCCGGGGCACTACGCAACACACGGCGCCTCCCGAGGGTGCAGCGGCAAGCGAGCGCGCTGCACGCGCTGCACGTCGGCGCACGGGCCGAAGGGAAGAGGGACCCGCGGACCCGCGCGAGGCTCCAGCCCGGCGCCCGGCCCAGCTCGGGGGGACTCGGCCCAGCTCCAGCGCACGCCGTGGAGTCCGAGGTCGAGGGGAAGGAGGCCGCGGAAGGGGGGAGAGGGGAGAGATCCCCCCTGGGGGTGAGGTCGAGGAGGTCGGGTGGTCGAGCAGGAGGTTCGGGAGCGGAGGACGAGGTCGGGTGAACCAGAACGAGGGAGTCGCGGATGGGGAGGCCTTCCGCACCGAGGGGAGGTGCCACGGGCCACCTCGCGCGCCCGCGGAAGGGAACGCGAATGTTCGAGGGGGGGAGCGATGAGGAATTGGAAGTAGAAGCCTGGGGAGGAGGTCGAGGAGTCGAAGGTCGAGGGGGGAGAGGAGGTCGAGGGTCGAGGGGGAAGTGAAGACGGTATGTACGGCTCACTTGCCGAAGTCACCGCGACGCGGAGCAGAAGATCGAGAATGGGAGCGCAAGACCAAAAGGGTGAGAGGAAACGTTGGGGGGGGCCGGCTGAGGGAAGAAAACGCAAAGCTGGAATCGGCGATGCATTGCCGATATCTTGGCGATGGTCCCCCGATAGCTCATCCGCACGTTCTCGAGCGGGGCGGGCTATCGGGCCCCTATCGGCGATCAGTAGCGATTGGGGGTTGAAGCATCCCCCCTGAGCATATTCCCGCTTAACGTTGCCCCCGAGAGGGCGAGGAGGCCGAAGGCGAAGGAACGCCGAGGAAGAGCAGGAGCAGGGGGGGCCGAGCACGGTGGAGGAGGACGAAGGCAAAGACGACGACAGCGACAACATCGCTGACGTCGACGACGAAGGCAGCCAAGCAGGTTCACCTCTCGGCAGGCTCCCGAAGGCGCACGCGCCGAGACCGCCCAGTTCAACCACATCCGCGCATGGTTTCTGTCCCCTCGGCTCGCAAGCGGTGAGCGCTGGACCGAGGCACGGACGAAGATGACGACCACCACGACAACGGTGACGTTGACGACGGCGACGACGGAGGGGCAACGTTACGGGAGGCTGGCTCAGGGAGTAACATCGACCTGGAATCGGTGGCAACGCATCACCGACAGATCGGCATCAGGCCCCAGTGGCGAAACCGCACGGTCCAGGGGGGGCCAACGGCTCCCTGTTGGCGATGAATGGACGACTAGGGGCCGATGCATCCCAACGTTGCTTCCTGGCCTTCGGGCCATAGTTCGGCTCTCCGGAGGGCGTTCGGGAAGATCCAGACACCCCCCGAACTCTCTCGGCGAGGCGCCGTTGTTGGAGAGCACTCCGAGGCTGGAAGCCCGCCGAGCCGACAACGACGCCCGAAAAACCTCGGAGACCAGACGGAAACCGCCGCGAGCCTGTAGGAAAACTAAGGAAACGCTGACGTCGACGACGACGACGACGACGACGACGACGACGACGACGCCGCTGCCGCCGCCGCCGCTGCCGCCGCCGCCGCAGCCGCCCACGTCGAGGAGAGCCGACGCGAGCTGGCGCGCTCGGCAGGGGAGCTGGCAGCAGAGACGGACGCCTCCGGCGCCGCCGCCGGCTGCGCAGCCTCTCTGGAGCGGGCCTCGACGCGTGAGGAGGAGGGCCCTCGATGTCATCATGCTCCTCCTCCTCCACCTCCTCCTGCTGTAATACCCTCCCCTCCTCCTCCTCTTCTTCCTCCTCCTCCTGCTGAAATATCCTCCTCTCCCTCCTCCTCCTCCTCCTCCTCCTCCTCCTCCTCCTCCTCCTCCTCCTCCTCCTCCTCCTCCTCCTCCTCCTCCTCCTCCTCCTCCTCCTCCTCTCCTCCTCCTCCTCCTCCTCCTCCTCCTCCTCCTCCTCCTCCTCCTCCTCCTCCTCCTCCTCCTCCTCCTCCTCCTCCTCCTCCTCCTCCTCCTCCTCCTCCTCCTCCTCCTCCTCCTCCTCCTCCTCCTCCTCCTCCTCCTCCTCTCCTCCTCCTCCTCCTCCTCCTCCTCCTCCTCCTCCTCCTCCTCCTCCTCCTCCTCCTCCTCCTCCTCCTCCTCCTCCTCCTCCTCCTCCTCCTCCCTCCTCCTCCTCCTCCTCCTCCTCCTCCTCTCGCAACATCGCTGATGCATCTTGGGTTGACTCTGGCCCTTCTCCTCCCTCCTCTGACCGAACACGCCCACCACGAACCCGTCGTTGAGCAAACTTCGTTTTTCTCCCATCCCCCTGGGCCGCCGCCAGGGCCTTCCGCCGGCCGGCCCCAATGTGGCCACCCGTGCCCCGCCCCCTTCGCACGGGACAAGGCGACAAAGCCACGCGGTGCTCGCCGTCTTTGCGGCACGCAAGGGGGGTGGGGGGAGGGGGGCAGCCACTCTGCGTCGAAGACCAGCTGTCGTCAACGAGGGAGGGGGAGGGAGAGTGAAGGCGATGGCGAATGGGGCGGCGGCGACATCGACGGCGACGTGTAGTGTAGCTCGTGGCTCCGTCGATGTGCCTCGAGACGGGGAGGTGGTGGAAGAGCAGGATCGCAGGTCGGACGAGGACAATTTCTGAGAAAACCGCTGCTAGCAACCAATTTCGGCTTCGCTGTCGGGCGACAGCTCGACACGGGGCCGCGTCCAGCGCCAAGAGGCGCCTTGAAAAATTGGTTGTGTGAATTGGTTCCTGCATGAATTGGTTTCGTCACCCCCCTTTTACGACCACCCCCTTCCCAGACCCCCTGAGGCCGTGATTTTCTCATAACTTGAACCGCCGACGCAGAGGTCAGGATCCTGTCCCAGGGACCGTTTTTCCGTCTTGAGTCGTTTCGTTGACGCCCCCTGTGCCCACTTGGAGTTCCCGGGGGCAGAAAATAACGACGAATTGTTTGCTCTGTCCAGCCCCCCACCCCCATATGGGGCCCGAGTAGGTAGGGGTCGGAAGATCGCGCCGCATCGCCGATGCATCCCCGACACGACTCGATGTGAAATCCGAGCTTCTCAATGCCGACGGCTCCGATGCATCGGCGGCACGGCGCGATCTTCCGACCCCTTTTATTATCTTTGTTTTGCCCGCGCCTTGCAAGGCGCGTTGCAATGCGCGCGACGAACTCCAGCATCAGCTCCTCCTCCTCCTCCATTTTGCTTGCCACGATCACCACCCCCTTCAGGGGCTGATGCCGCGGACTGGACCGAAGAGGGCCCGCCGCCGCCAGCCAAGGCTGCGGGAATGGAGCGTGGAGCTCGCCGGCTTCTCCAGGATCTCCAGCTTGGCCTTCTCCCAGTCCGCTGGGGTCTTTAAGCCCGCCAGAATCAAGTCCCCCTTGTCGCCTCAGTCGCGATGTCCTCAGGGCCGAGCAAGGTGTGGCGGAGCCGCTACTTGCACCTCCCGTCCTCTTCATGTCTTATATTTTTACCATGGGCGTCGGCGCCCGCCTTCCTGGCCACTGCCTTCTCGGGCATCAGGGCCTCCAGCGCCCAGTCGTGCCGCCCCGCCCGATGATCCGGGTAGCCACAGCTGGCCACCAGCTCTCCAAATGCTCCTGCACCTCGTGCTGCTTCAGCGATCCGCTCCTCCGACTGTCATCATCGCCGCGCCTCGCAAGCGTCTGCAATTGCGGCAGGGTGCGCGGTGATGCCGCGCTGGCGCCCACCGTTCTGCTCGCCGCGTCGACGCACCAGGAGACCGCCCCAGGGTTGATGCCATCCGGGCCCTCCTACCCACTTGAAGCTGCACCCACTGGCGGACGTTCCAGCGTCTCAAAGTAAGCCGCCATCACCCTCCCTGCCGGCCTTCCGACGCTCCTCAGCAGCGTCCTCGTCATTGCGGACCTCCGAGCTGGGGACACGGCTCCTCCTCCGCCCCCCAGCGCCAGCGCCGGGCGCGGGGCGACCTCCAGCTCGTCCTGCTCGACACCGTCGCCCCAGCCCACCTCTTTGGGCATCGGCGGAGGCGACCGACCTGGCGACGCGACGCCTCCTCCACCCTCGCCCTCCAGCGCCAGGGGAGGGCGGGGAACGCCTTCCAATACGCCCCGTTCTGCTCCGTCGCCGCCCGCCCTCGGCAATGGCTCTCGACCCAGTCGGCTAGTTCTTCGCGGCGGCAAGAGGCCTGCCCCGCTCCGCGGAGGCCTCGCGGGCGCAGCTGATCATCTGGCAGCCCCCCCTCGATTGGCGCCGCGCCCTCTCGGTAGCTTCCCCCGGCGCCCCCGATGCTAGGCCGCGGCCTGGCCCTTGCCAGTGGGCGCTTGTTCCCGCGCTTCTCACGCTCCGCCTCACTGGCGTGGCCCCCCTCCACGCCCCCCCCCCCCCATCAATGAAGCGCGCGCTCTCCGCTGGGGCGTTCAGGAAGCGGTCAGCAATCCCAGGTACACCTCCCACCGCGTCGATTCGGACGCGATCGGCCATCCCGCGCCCGAGAAATTCCATGGCGCCCGACTCCTTCAGAACCGTGGCCCGCCCGTGGATGAAGATGGCCTGGTCTGACCAATGCTCGCGCATCTTCAAGAACCTGCCAATGAGCCTGCCGAGCCCCGCATCGGGCGACTTCGGCGCCCTCGCGCCCCCCCTTCGCCAGGGAGTCCACCCATATGGAGAGGTGGTCCACATTCTCGCCGCGCCGCGCCGCTCCATCACGACCTGCCGATACCTCTGGGCGGTTATGCCTCCATTACTCGTACCCCCTGTCGTTTTCTCCGCGCGCGGATAAAAAATCGCGACATCCAGAAGCGTCGCCACGGGGCCCCCGGGGCCCGGACCTGACCAGGAAGCTATCAGGCATCATTTTCTCCACACCTTACTGAAGGGGCCCCAGGACACACAAATAAATACGCACAAATAAAAATATTCCCCATATTTTCCCATATTTTCTGGGTTTTTGTCTTCCCCCCCAATTCCCATATTTTCCCATATTTTCCTTGGGATCGACGATTAATTGTGTCTGTGTGTTTTTTCCCATCCTGACTTACGTCATGACACGTACCTCTCCGCGAAGGGGTCAGACTCCTCGGGCCAGTGTCAGACCGGAGCCGCGTCGGGTCTGCCCTCGAGGGCCATGCGCGCGTCATGACCAGCCTTGCTTCCTCGGCCTTAGCCCCGCGCTGTGGCGCAAACGTGGGAGCAGTAAGTGAGAAGAGACCCTGGCTACCAGGCCGCGAAGCTGATCGCGGAACCCGACGCCGTCGCGACTCGAAGTGGGCCCGCCGCGACCGGCCGCAGCTTGGCCCAGAAGGCCCCGAACAAGTACCGACCCATGGCGTCGGCAGGACCACCAGGAAAACACCAGCGGGCGCCGCAGGGCTCGCAGGGCATGCCCAGCTCGATCGCCGAGCTGCTTCACAGCCGCCTCGACTCACGCGCTGGCCCAGGCCATGCATCGCTTTCCTCTCGGCTGCACTCCGAGGCCCCGTGGCCTCTCCTGGTGCGCTCGCACCTCCTCCTGGCGTGTCCTCGGACGGCTGGGAAAACGTGGTTCCGCCTCCTGCCTCGGCCTCCTACGTCCGCCTTCTCCTGCCTCTTGGGTCCCTCGCTGGGGCAGCCGTGCTCCTCCGACTTCGGATGCGGTGAAGGCTCACGTAGCGACTCCGTCGAAGGTCCAGCTGAGTGGGACGCTGGGCCTTGCCCCCATAGCGTCCCCGAGCTGCTGCCCTGCAGGAGGTCCAAGTAGTGGCACACGTGAAACTACAGGGCAGTTGTTTACTGCATGGGATTTATATATATACACGTATATATAACAGATTTTAATACATGATTGATTTACGAATACATGTATGCATAAACCCCTTGTTGTTAGTGATGTTAAATCCCTGCATTTGTTATACATGATCCGCACGCGGAGCATGTATTAAAAAACGGCGTTGTACTCGGCGTACTCGAGATGGACTGATGCCTGGCGCTCGTTCCCCTCAGCATCCCTGCGAGCCCTCTTGGCCTTCGGGGCGCCCACGCGGATCGGCCATGGCTGGCGGCAGATCCGTGGCCGAGAGCCCCACCAAGAGAGGCGTCGCTGCACCACCCAGCTGCGCAGCTCCAGAGGAGGCCGCAGGCAGTGCCGGCCCCTCTGAAGCACAGGTCGGCTCCGCCTGCGCCTCCTCGTCCCGTGAGGCGTCTGCCGCCTCTTCCTCTGTCTCGTGGCCGCCTCCCCGAGCCGGAGGTGAACGACGCGGACGCCGTGAGGCTGCAGTGCAGGCCAGCCCCGCTCGACGCGTCGAGCCAACCAAAGGCTGCCACAACAGCCGTCGCCAGTGCACACTCCAAGGAAAACGCGTGGCGCATCCCTTTCAGGCCGCTCCGGGCCGCGTTCCATCAGCGCCGCCCGGAGCGAGCGAGCCATGGCCCTGTGCCCGCCCACCCCAAGAAGAGGCTGGCCTCCGCGGGGCCTTGAGCCTTGAGGCAAAAGGAGGCAAAGAATGAAGGGGCCCCAGGACACACAAATAAATACACACAAATAAAAGTATTCCCCATATTTTCGCATATTTGGGGTTTTTTGTCTTCCCCCCCACTGCCCATATTTTCCCATATTTTCTGGGGAATCGAGGATCAATTGTGTCTGTGTTTTTTTTCCTCCTGACAATAAAAGGCTGGCCTCCGCGGGGCCTTGAGCCTTGAGAGGCAAAAAGGAGGCAAAGAACGAGCACAGGGGAGAGACTCCGCACGCGCACAAAACCATGAGTTATCACTAACGTCCGAATTATCTGTTTGAGGCAGTGCTCGGAGGCCGCGTGAGGTCACCCTCCGACCTCGCCATCGCTCGGACGTCCATTCCGTGTTTTTTTATCGGTCTCGTGCGTGGTTTGTTCGGCAAATGGTCAAGGATGCTCCTCGATGGCCCTCGCCGAGGAAAAAACGCACACGTCCGAGCGATGCCAGGCGACTGTTCTCCGACCCTTTCTGGCCCGCGCTGCGGCTGATGGCCAAGAGCGGTCCGCCGACTACTGGCAACACACATTCCGGACAGGCTGGCGCAACGACTCGGCTGGCGCTGGCCCGCGCGCGAGAAGCAAATGGCGAGGATCTGGACGCCCGAAATGGGTACCCATCGGTCGACAGAGGTAGGTAGAAACTCGTAGTAGGAAGGCGTTGAACATAGATTGGGTGTCCGCCCGCCCCCTCGGGAGGGCGGAGAAAGTGAAGCCACTCGATCATTGAAGCAGGAAGACGCTTAAAATAGATTGGAATCTGGGACTCCAGAAATACCCACTTCAACGACCGATGTGTACGGGAAAAATGGATACGATGCCCAACGGCCAACGCCGTCCAAAAGCGGCAGCGGCCGCTGCTGGGCAGGCGGCCGCCCTGCCTCGATCTCGGACCACGCCCGCGGCGACAACGACAGCGAGCCTTAGTCAAGATGAACAAGAGATGCGAGCGGTCTTCGCACCCTCTCTTCCCGTGCCCATTCCGATGGCACCAAGAGGAGGGGCACGGCGGCGAGGGGGCAAGACTCCCGGACCTCTCCCGAGAGGACTGGGCGGTGAGGCGGAGGCGGAGGCAGAGGGGAAATCTTCAGTCCGCAGCGAGGGGGCACCAGCCCCGAGCGGCCCATCCTCCTCCTCCTCCTCCTCCTCCTCCTCCTCCTCCTCCTCCTCCTCCTCCTCCTCCTCCTCCTCCTCCTCCTCCTCTCCTCCTCCTCCTCCTCCTCCTCCTCCTCCTCCTCCTCCTCCTCATCCTCCTCCGTGTCCTCCTCCACCGCGTTCTCCGTGTGCGTCCAATTTCGTCCTTCTCTCCTTCGTCACCCTTTTTTCTTCTCCTCATCATCACGATCACCACCAGCACCATCATTGCCATCAAGATTGAATCACCGTCGTGCTCATGCTCCTCCTACTCTTCCAGCTGTTCCTTATCTCAGCCCCTCCTCCGCGACCCTTCCCTCTCTCCCCTTCCCCCATCAAAGCTCGAAGCTGCGACATGTCACCACAGTTGCCGCTCTCTCCCTCTCCTCCTCCTCCTCCTCCTCCTCCTCCTCCTCCTCCTCCTCCTCCTCCTCCTCCTCCTCCTCCTCCTCCTCCTGCCGCTGCTGCTGCTGCTCCCTCTCCTCCAACTCCTCCTCGTCCTCCTCCTCCTCCTCCGCCTCCTCCTCCTACGAAGATAACATCGGGTGAGGATAAATCGCAATTCTCTGAGATCCGGCGGCTCTGGAGAACGTCTCGGGCGCCACGGCCCTCTCAGAGCGTTCCGGAACGCCCTGAGAGCGATCTGGATCGCTCTGCAACGGATTGATCATCGTCCCAGCCCCGTTCGACGCGGTCTCCTGGATGTGGCACTCACGAAACATGCACAAGCATGCATCGGAACTGCATCATAACGTGTTGGCTAGCGCCGAAGGAGGACGCCAACGCGGCAACGCGGTCGATCAGCCTGTGGGCCGCGCCGGGCAGAAGCACAAGGGGACGAGTGGAGAAAAGGCGGGCGGCACCGCGGAGAAGTCCACGCGGGGGGAGGCCACAGGTGCAGGGAATCTCCGCCGAGAGGAGCGCGCCTGGGAGCTGGCGCGCCAGTGAGCTGCCTCGAAACATGCCCCGGAACTGCCAGGAGGAGAGGGACGGAGACCCCCGACGTCGTGACTTCGTCATGGCAACGGGTGCCCAGAGGTCTCGACCCCTTCCTGGGGGCGGGGTCTTCCTCCCGAGTCGCTTTTTGACGGCCCCGGGGGCCCGGCTGAGGGCCCCTGGAGCCCGAACACGATCCAAAATCTTTTGTCGTGGCTTTTCAAGGACCCGAGGGGAGTCTGCAGAGGCCATTCTAAATGAGGTCCGAGTGGATGGGGTCGGGGGCATCGGTGACGTCGGCAATACATTGGCGACGTCCACGTGGAGAATATCAGGCTCCCTGTCGAGCCGCACTGGGGATGCATCAGCGATGCTCCGCGGTCCTCCGACCCCATCTACTCCAACGCCATCTGTGAGGCCTAGAGTGCGGGGACAGCAAACGTCCACAACATCGAGGACACACCCTGGGGGATCTCTTGCGCATGCCAACAAGCGCCAGAACACCTAAATCTGCCCAGCACTGGTTGTGGTCGTTGTGGACGCCCCAGACGGCCAGAGCGACCACAACCACCGCCAGGCTGTTCCCTGCGAGGTCGGCGGGCTTCTCCCGGGGGCCCCGCCAGAACATCCCCTGAGTTGTGGTTGTGGCTCTTGGCTTTCTGCGGCAACTCGTGGGAGCCCCCCGTACCATCTTGTTGGCTCCTGCGAACCGACGAGGTTCGCCGCTCACCGACGCAAATCGACGCTAACTGGACACCAGCCGACGCCAATCGATCCTACATCTGCGCTCCCTCATCGACCACCAGACGACAGCGCACCCCGCTGCACTCTGGGAACGGAACGGCGAGGACGTGCAGGGCCCCCGTGACCTGCGACCAAGCCGCTCGACTGGGTGAGGGGCAACGTCAGGGGGGGATGGGCATAGGGGGGGATGCATCGACCTGGAATCGGCGATACGTCGTCGATAGATCGGCGATAGGCCCCCGATAGTTAATCTTCTCCTTCCTGGGCGGGGTGGGGCTATCGGGCCCCTATCTCGGCGATCAATGGGCGATTGGGGGTCGATGCATCCCCCCCTGTGCCCATCCCCCCCTATCGTTGCCCCTGACTGGGACCTCGGTCTGGGAGGCCAAGAGTTCGTGACTCGAGTGGAGTCTGGAGGAGGAGGGAGGAGGAGGAGGAGGAGGAGGAGGAGGAGGAGGAGGAGGAGGGAGGAGGAGGAGGAGGAGGAGGAGGGGGGGGAGGTGGAGGGGGGAGGGGGGGGGGATGGAGGGAGGGAGGAGGAGGAGGAGGAGGAGGAGGAGGAGGAGGAGGAGGGGGCTGGAGGGGGAGGGGGAGGGGGGACGGAGGGAGTCTGGGAGGCCAAGAGTTCGTGCCCCGAGCGGAGTCCGGGGAGAGAGGCGGGGCCCGCGCCACCAGGCGCGGGGGGGGGGGGGGGGCGGCCTCCGAGCAGCGCTGTGCGGAGCGTCGGGGGCGTCCGAGAGGGGGGGCGCCCAAGGAGGAGGGCTCGCAGATCATGGCCCTCGCCATCGCTCGGACGTCCATGCCCCGTGCGTTGTTAGGGCTTCGTGCGCGCATTTTTTGCGCAAGGTGGCCCAAAATGCTCCTCGATGGTCCTCGCCGAGAAAAAATGCACACGTCCGAGCGATGCCAAGGGCCGGGGCAGCCTTTCCTCTAGCCCCTGGCGAGTTTCCCTGGCACGGGGGGGGGGGGGCGTGGCGAGGCCCGAGAGGGAGCCTGGACTTCACGCGGGCCAGGACTCGCTTGCACGCCATGCTGCCCCAGCGTTGCTCGTGAATGCGGCGAGGGGGAGGGGGAGGGGAGGGCAATACAAGTAAACTCGCCTGGGTATGAAGGAAAGGCGTCCTCGCAAGAGGAGGGGGCCATGAACTCTGTGGAGATTCCATCCCTGAGGTCCGACGTTGCGAACAAACATGCAGATGCAACATCGCGAGAAATCACGACCGCTGACCCCATCTTTTTGAGAAACAAGGGACCGGAAACTGAAGGGCAAAAAGCGCCCAGCGAGAAGAGATTGCAACGCCTGGGTGCCCACCTCACAGGTCATCACCCCCGGCCGCCCCCGAGAGCATCGGCGTGGTTGGACGAAGAAAAACAGATTGCACAAACAAACAATACCCTGTCGGAGGTCCACGCTGATTTTTCTTGGATCGGCGCTGGACGCCCCCCCCCCTGGCGCGCGGAGCGCGCCAGACGCGGGGCAGGAGGCGCCGCCAGGGGGGGGCCCAGCGCTGATCCACGAGGTCCGCGCGGAGCTCCGAGAATTTTCATGATTATGCCCTCTGCTGCTCTTCGAGCTGGGGCGGGGCCGGGGCGAGTCTGCCTTTGTACCCCCGCGGCCCTCGGCTCAGCCCGCGCCAGGAGAAAATCGGCCGGCCCTCCGCGCGGGAGGGCGGCGGAGCCCCCCGGGGAGGGCCCCGCGGGGCAGAGGAGGCCCTCGGAGGGCCGCGGTGCACCGCGCGGCCGTGCCGCGCGCGCCCGGCACCCACTGCGATCGCCGCCGGTGGTCGCCAGGGGGATGCAGGCGAAGCGAGGCGAGCGCCGGAGTCGGGCGCGCTCCACTGGGGAGCCCGCCCGTGCCCAGCAGGGCATGGCGTGGAGGCCGTGGCTTCAAAAAGGCCGCGGCAGGGGGATGCGGGGGGTGGCCGTGGCCGCCCATCCGGCCGTGGCAGGGGGATGCAGGGGGGGTCTACGAGGGGATGGCAGGGCGGATTCTATCTGACCTCACCCATCTCAGCAGGGGGGCTGCAGGTGCCGCAGGTGGCTCCACGGACGTGCAGATCTGGGCCAATGGGGCGGAGCCCGCTCGGCGGAGGCATCGAATCACCCCGCGCCGCTCAGGGCACCTGTAACCCACTTCAGAAGGCTGGGATAGTCCAGACATCGCCCACTTCAGCATCCACGTCTGAACCTCTGCCGCCCCAGCAACCAAGGCGGCGATCCGCGCAAACCACGGCGGACGGAGCTCGAATGCCTGCGGCCTCCGGGGCGCCCCTGCTGGGCCTCGGGGCCGCCCGACGACGCCTCGGGGCGAAGCACGGGCTGGGGGGAAGGGACCCGCACCTCTGGAGTGAAGGGGCCCTGGGACACACCAACGAATACACACAACACAAAAAGGCTTCCGCATACTTTCCCGTATTTCCTGGGCTTCTGTCTTCCCCCCCACTGCCCATATGCGCCCATATTTTTCGGGGGGAATCACGATGAATTGTGTCTGTTGGCTTTTTCTCCTCCTGATGGAGGCCCGACGCCCCGAAGACGGAGCCCGACGCCTGGGGGGCCCGACGCCACCGCGCGGCCACGTGCCGCGTGCGAGCCCGGCGCCTGCCCTCCGGGAGGGCCCGGGCGGCCCTGCCGACCCGGCTCGACCGACGGGGGCCGCGTCGTCGTCGTCGCCGCCGCCGTCGCCGTCGCCGTCGCCGTCGCCGTCGCCGTCGCCGTCGCCGTCGCAGTCGCCGTTATCGTCGTTTTCGCTGTCGTCGTCGTCGTCGTCGTCGTCGTCGTCGTCGTCGTCGTCGTCGTCGCCCCGCCTCCACCCCTCCACAGCACTCGGGCGCTTCTGGGCAGGCCTGCGAGGGAGCTCGCGCGTGGGAGAGTCCGCTCTGCTCGCGGGGCCGCGTGGGGATCTCTGGCGCGCTGGGACGTCCAGAGAGCCAGCGCGAGTCGTTCCGACATTAGGAGGCAACTACTGGGAGGTTTTCGTCGGAAGGACTAAGGAGGATTAAGCCCCAATTGGGGGGCTGTTACGCCAGAGTGGGCCTCGGATCAAGCGGGATTAAGCGGGATTAAGCGAGATTAAGCGGGATTGAGCCAGATTAAGCGGGATTAAGCCGGATTAAGCGGGATTTCGGACCAGGGCTGAATCAGAATTTGACCTCCCAGGAGTTGCATCCAGACCGACAGGTAGCCGTGTGCCGCGCGCGCCGCTCTGTGCACCGTGCTGCCTTTGCTGCGCGTCGCTCGCTTTCAGGGACGCGGAACGCCGCAAGGCATCCTGCACAATCTCAATAAAGACACAACAATCATGAGAACGCTCCTCTGACAAAAAGTCATGCACAATCTCAGCATAAGATGCTTACGCTCGCAATCAACGCTGCCACTTCGTGGGCAGGCTGCGCTGGGCGTACGAATTGTCACGCGTGGAATGCATCCACTCCACCGCTTTGCGAATTCCCCCAACAAGCCTCGTAAGAGGAAATTTCTTTGAAGGGGTGATACGCAACAAAAGTACTATTATCGCATGACTCCCAACCTGAAGTGCCGGTGTTTCTGGTGCTCTGGGATGACACCACCGATGCTACCTCCATTGTCAAAATGCGTCTCCCTCAGATCCCCCCTCTGCCCCCACCCGCCCACCAACCCATCTCCCGCACCCTCGCATGGGACACAACAGAGCGCAGTACTGCCAGAGGCTCCACTCGGAGGCACGCGCCAGACCTGAACATACGCTCCAGGCGATTTTGGCCACAACACGCCCCCCCCCACCCGCCCACTCAGCTCATGCCACTGCCCTTCTGAGCGTGCGCGGCGCCCCTGCGGGTCCGACGCCAACGAGGGCGCCGGTGTCCCCCGGCCCCCCCGCCCCATCTGCCCCTCCTGCACGGACCTCGGGCGCCACTTCTCCATCCCCTGCCGCGCACCTGCGCCCTGCAAGTCTTGGGCACGGCCGGCCCCGGCGTTCCGCCACGACGCCAAGGAGGGCGACTGGAAGAAACCAGGGGCAAGGTGTGAGTATCCTCGTCGTCGTCCTCCTCCTCCTCCTCGACCTCTCCTCCTGAGCTCCCCCAAATCATCCGACGGGGGAACAATAACGAGCGGGAGGTGGTTCAGGAGGCGGAGGACATTGACCCAGAATCCGCGATACGTCGCCGATAGATCGGCGAGAGGCCCCCGACATCGACACCACGCGGTCTCGGCGTGGGCGGGGGGGGGCCACGGCCCCAATCGGCGATGAGCAAGCGATGGGGGTCGGTGCTCCCCTCTTGGGTGGGACACCCCATGTCGTTGACGCTGACCCCTCCGATCCGTCGTCATCCCCCCCCAAAAAAAGCGTCTCCTTCGGGGGGCTGGCAGTGGTCTTCAACGAGGAGCGCGTCGTCGTCCTGCCGCTGGGTGGAGAGAGGCCGGCGGGGCGGGGGGGGGCAGGGCAAGGGAGGGGGAGGGAGGAGGCAAGCTCAGTCAACATCGAATCGCGAAATCGGATCGAATCGGACTGCGTCGGCACGGATTCAAAATCGAATCGGATCGGCCGCACCAGGATACACAACGACGAAATGCAAGCATCGGGCCGCAGCGGATCGCTGGGAGATCGAGAACGACTCGGATCGACTCGGCCGACGTCGATGTCGAATCCGATCGATCGGATCGAAACCCTGAGAGGGGAGGGAGGAGGGAGCAGGAAGAGGAAGGCCGAGGAAAGACAGAGGCCTGGCCAGGCCTGGCAGAGGGCCGCGAGGCGGAGCTTCGAGGCACCTGCTCCTCCTGAGAAGCAGCCTCTGGGACAGGCTGGTGGGCCCTTGGGTTCTCATGGTGTCTGACCTCGTAGGGGTAAAGCGGGAGAGGGGAGGTAGCCACCTGGGTAAGAGCGAAAAGTTCAGCTAGAGGGGAGGATTGGCGCGCACAGGGTGAAAATCCACACGTCACTGCATCCATTCCACCATCGCAAATGCCAGTCCTTGTACAACTTCCCACCCGATCCGTCTATGACCCAAACTCTGCCCTTGATCTTCCCCTATCTCTCTATGACCAAGCCCTGGGGCCCTCAGTGCTATCAGCGAACGCGGCACGGCGCGGCGTAGAAGGAACTGCCACGCTAGACCGTGGGATGCTGCAGCTTCTTTAGCCCGATACGGGCACGCTCTCTGAAAGGTTTTGACAAAGCGGCAGTTGATGAGCTGCTGCGGGAGATGGCTGCAGACGCTGAGCATGCCGAAAACCAGCCTCTGGAGCAAGGGATGGTGGCGTGGTTCGATCGGGTCGTTCGGGGCCCGCCTGCGGAGGCGACGGTTGACGCCGAAACCGTGTGATGCAAGGAGGCCCGCAGCAGCAGGAAACGGCGAGGACAGACAATGCAGAACCTGACCAAATCGAGACCCTGGACGCCAGACCCGAGATGGACATGTCGCGTCTCGCGCGTGACGGTGCCAAAGTCAACTCACAGGGCGCGCGTACCTCCGTCGACTCCTCGTGCTGAAACAGTTCTGCACGCCATCGAGCAGTTCGAGGACACACGTTGCTGGGCGAAGCAGCACTCGCTGCAACCCCGATGGTCGACCCATTGCGCATATGGAGAAAAAGCGGCTGGCGAGCAGTAGCGCTTGTCGTTCGCAAGAAGCCTCAGCGCAATACTTCTGAACGGCTGGCGATTTTTTGTTACCACAAACAGCCCCTCGCAATTTGAAGTCCTCGCCGTGCGGGCGCGCTTCGAACAAGACTTGACTTGCGGCGCCGTCAAAATGAAATGAATATCGAACATGTTCACACGCACCCATAAGATCGGGATTGCTGCGACAGCAACCGTAAACCTCCAACAATTGAGGCCGTCCCAAAAAGAACACTCTTGGAACCGGCGTCGATAATTAACGGAGCGGCCCGCGTCAGCGTAGCACACGTTCGAAAGCGGAGCACCGAGCAGAGCACCCTGGAAAACCGTGCTCTCAGGCGGGAGAGATTCGGATAAGACGCCATCGACGCAGACCCTGGCAATACGAGGCTCCAGCCAGGCAGAGATTAGCTTCGCGAGTACCTCTGGAATGCCGACGGCGCGAAGTTTTGCGAGAAATCTGGAGGACCTGGTCAAATCCACCAGATTCGCCGGAGCAGTAGACTGTAACCCGACGGCCTGTCCCAACTGCCCATGCCCAATGGCACACTGTATGAGCTAAGGCGTCGCGATACCGCCAGCCACTGTGGTAGGCTAACTGATTACGACCGTATGCACGGGCACATTCGAAAAACAGGAGACACTGGATAGCAAACATCCGTTCGACCACTTTGCTTATCTGAGAGGTCAAATGAAGTCCACGCTAATTTTCCGCATTTGCCCTCACCTTGTGGTTGAATCAGAAAGCAGCCAGTGAAGCTTTCAAAGCGAAGGCAGAGCACGATGTTGAAAACAAGGAGGGCAATAATGGACAATGGCATGCGAGCTCACGCGCGTAATTCTTAAACAACCGCACTGGAACAACATCAGGGTCTGTGACGCAGTCTTCTTGGAGGCTTGGAGAACCTGCAAAACTTTGTCGACGGCGCATTGCGTGGAAACTCGGCATGGCATGATTCACGCTCGCGTCGATCTCGGAACACGCATTCAAGCAAGCATCAGGCAAGCCGGCTGAAGGTATTCTCGGAATAATCTGCTTTCTGCCTTGGCTCGAGGGCCCACGTCCCAACAGTCGTGGCGGAAGGGGACTGTGAGAGAACCCAGCGAGAAGCACGAGGAAATACAGAAAAAACGCTGTTTCTTTCAGGAAGGTCGTAATTCTACTATCCGAGCTGGCGGTTGCGGGCGGTGTGCGCCCGGTGCTCTCGAAGCACTTCTTCGGAGCAGCTGCTCTGCCGGGTCTCGTGCGCAGGCGTGCTGTGGGCGTCCACCTCTGCTGCTATGAGTCCGAAGCACTTGTCATGAAGTCAAAGGTGCGCGGAGTTCCCGACGGTCGCCTGAACGGTCGGGATGTAACGCCTGGCAATGCTCATGAGAAACATTGTGAAATTCAGAACTGCCGCCATATGGCCGCATCCAAAGAACAGGGAACACCAATCCATGGCATTGAGGGCCCCACGGAGACCATTCCCATCAGCTTTCTGGAGCCGCCACTGCTCCCGCTGGATCGGCAGAGAACAAGAAACACGCAAAGCGGCTTCAAGTGGACGAGATTGTGATCGCAGATGGGCGCGTGAACCGTGCAGGCGACACCCGAAATGAACTCTGACAATACGAGATCGAGTACATTGTTGCCTCGAGTGGGCTTGCCGACACTTTCGAGCATACCTATTCGAGCGCACACCTTGAAAAGCTCCTTCCTTTCCAGAGTGCGGCCGTCGGCGAAGTAAATTCACGGTTTGTGATGCACGTGCATGTCCGCGACGATGCGAGAGCCGACTGCGAGGTCATGATGCGAGTGTCACTCGCGCTCAGGAGATGACATATAATCAACCTCACCGTCCTCCGGGGGCCACACCGAAGAGCAGGCAGAAAAGGCCCCAAACCCAGATGAGGCCCCGTAGAGGAGGAAGGTGGCCCACAGAGGCCATGAGCAGGAAGTGGAGGGGCGAGGGAAGAGGGAGGACGGAGGAGACGCGAGTCCTCGCGGCTCACGTTGAGCACCTTCCACAGGCACTGGTCGATGAACAGGTCCTCGCGGGGCCGCGCGCGCGGCGACCGCGGACCGCGGCCCGGGCCCCCTGGAGCATCGCGGAGCCGATCTTCATCCCCGCTGGCGTGGACTGGGCCCCACTGGCCGATTCACCCTCCTGGATGGGGATTTCTCTATTTATTTTTGTTTTACCCTCCTGGATGGGGACATAGGCTGGTCCCTTCGGATTTCGGGGGGCACATCCACAACTGGGGGGGTGGGGTGGTGGGGATCGGGACGATGATCGGGATGGGGATCGGTTGCACGGCACTGGCGGCGGCGATGGCGGCGGTTGACGGTGGTGATCGCGGCGGTGGTGCGATGGCGCTGACAAGGGTGACGAGGAAAAACGCGCGCGCAGGAAGTCAAGAAATCTGACAGACCGTCTGTGGAAGACACGCGGTGCGACCAAGTAAGCTGCATGTTGAAGTGCTGCAGAAACCAATGGTGGTCAAAGGATTTCGACACGCGGGGGTGGCTTCTAGAGCATGTGGCCCGCATGGTATTATGGAGCCGTGCACTGGGCGGCTGCTAGATCAACGCGGATGCTGCGCGTGGTGCGATGATCATGCAGGTTCTGGAGAAGATGGCTAAACATCAGATGGCTCTCGTGCGAGCAAGTGCGCGCGATCAGAACAGCTGAAATATTGAACCACTTGCTACACTAGTGTGTTGGTATGAACTCGACATATGCGCGCACGTGTGGAGTTCTACTATGTCTTGCAAGGGGTCCTGGCAAACTGATCGTTTGGGATGAGGAAGTGCGCGCACATGATATTAGCTGACCAGGGTGAGCGATTGGGTTCATACCGGCTGGGCGAGGATTATATGATGCCATAAAATGTTAACCAGTGGACCCCAGGCTGGGATATGTTGCAACATATGCGGTGTAATCCAGGTGGCGCAATCAATGTTGTGCAATCTACGAGGTGCGATTAATGTGATGCAACCTATGTCGCGAGAAGCAGAGCAATGCGGCGCAAAGCAATGCAACGCCACTCCAAACCATGCAAAGCAATACAACGCAAGTCGGAACAAGGTAAACGCATTGCAAGCCATGCAAAGCAACGGGTCGCCTTGCAACGCAATGCACCGCAATGCAGCGAAATTCAGCGTGAGGCAACGCAATGCCACGCGATGCAACGCAATGCGACGCAATGCAGAGCGATGAACAGCAATACCTATCAATGCGCAATAATGCAAAGCAAGGCGAAACACTGAAACAGACTGCAAACCAATGCAACATAATGCAAACAACTAGTACGTAATGCAAGGGAAACCACGCGACGCCATGCAAATCAATGTAGTGCGACGCAATGCGATGCAAAGCAATGCTACACGATGCAACTCAATGAAAAGCGACGCAAGGCGATGCAATGCAATGCAAAGCCATGCGACGCAACGCAAAGCAATGCTGAAGCAGTGAAACGCATTGAAACGCAATGCAACGCACGCCAGCACAATGCAAAACAACGATGCAACGCAATGCAAAACAATGCTGGGCTATGCAAATCAAGGCAGCGAAATGCGAACCAGTGCAAAGCAACGCAACGCAGTGCACAGCAACGCAATTCGAAGCGATGCAAAGCACTGCCCCGAAGTGCAACGCAACGCAATGCAACGCAATGCGATGCAATACAACGCATAGCAGCGCAATGCATCACATTGCAAAGCCATGCGAAGCCATGCATCGCAATGCAGGGCAATGCAACGCAATGCAACGCAATGCAAAGCAATACAAAGCAATGCAACGTAATGCACCGCCAGCGATGCCAAGCAACGCACAGCAAAGCAATGCGGAGCCATGCAAAGCCACACAACGCAGTGCAAAGCAATGCAAAGTAGCTCAACGCAATGCAAAGCGATGAAAAGCATTGAAAGGCATGCAAAGCCAGCAATGATCAAGCCACAAAAGTCCAAGCAACGAACAGCACGGCAACACGACGCACTGCAACGCAGCGCAAACCCATGGCAAAACAACGGCTCCACGCAGCGCACAGACAGAGCACTGCCGAGGCAGTGCGAATCCACCGCGCGCGAACAGCGATGCAGCGCAACTCGCCATCGCTCGGTCGTCCATTCCCTGTGCTTGTTTCGCCAAATGATCAAGGATGCTCCTCGATGGTCCTCGCCGAGAAAAAAATACACACGGCCGAGCGATGCCAAGGGGAACAGCGATGCGGCGCAGTGCGATTGCAATGCCGTGCGATGCGATCGCACCGTAGCCGGGAGGGTGTGGGTGCGACGGGGCGGCGGCGGCGGACGGGCACGGGGCCGCAGGGCCCGCACGTCGGCCACCTTGGGGGGCAACAGGTTGGCCACAAGTTGGCCACACGTTGGCCACACGTTGGCGCATGTGGCTGGCTGGGCGGGGGGGGGGCTGATTGGAACCTCCCCCCCTCTCTGATCGATCAACTCCAGGATGGCCACATGTTGGCCACACGTTGGCCGCATGTTGGCCACATGTTGGCGCATGTGGCTGGCTGGGCGGGGGGGGGGGGCTGATTGGCACCTCCCCTCTCTCTGATCGATCAACTCCAGGATGGCCGCAAGATGGCCCGCGGGGCTCCCAAGGGTGTCCTGAGACGGCCCCAGGCCCACAGAGACCCCAAAGAGGCCCGAAGAGGCCCCCCCAGATGCACCCAAGACGCCACAAGAGGCCCCGACATGTTTTGTTGTTGGGGGCCTGAGTCAGGAGCCCCCCTCCTTTGATCGATCCCCTCCAAGATGATCCCAAGATAGCCTCCAAGGCTCCCAAGGGTGCCCAAAGACGCCCCCCAGAGGTGCCCAGGAGGCTCCCGAGAGGCCCCCAACAGTCCTCCAAGATGCCCCCAAGAGGATCCCTAACAGGCTCCCAAGAGGCACCAAAGACGCCCCAAGAGGCCCCCGGGACTTCCAAGAGACCCCCAAGACACCCCAAGAGGACGCCAAGAACCTTTAGAAAGACATCTGAAACAGACATCCAAGAGGCTTCTGGCCTTTCTGCCCGCCTTCCTCCTCCTCCCCTTCCTCATCCGCCCATTCCTCCTCCATCCTCCCTCCTCCCCCTCCCCCTCTCCCAGCTCCTCCTCCTCCTCCTCCTCCTCCTCCTCCTCCTCCTCCTCCTCCTCCTTCCCCTCCTCCTCCTCCGGCTCCTCCTTCTCCTCCTCCTCCTCCTCCTCCTCCTCCTCCTCCTCTCCCTCCTCCTCCTCCTCCTCCTCCTCCTCCTCCTCCTCCTCCCCGTCCGTCTCCTCCTCCTCCTCCTCCTCCTCCTCCTCCTCTCCTCGTCCTCCTCCTCCTCCTCCTCCTCCTCCTCCTCCTCCTCCTCCTCCTCCTCCTCCTCCTCCTCCTCCTCCTCCTCCTCCTCTTCCTCCTCCTCCTCCTCCTCCCTCCTCCTCCTCCTCGTCCCCTCCTCCTCCTCCTCCTCCTCCTCCTCCTCCTCCTCCTCCTCCTCTTCCTCCTCCTCCTCCTTCTCCTCCCCGTCCGACTCCTCGTCCACTTGGGGTACGAAGTCTTACCCAGCCCTTTATTCTACTGCATGCTCATCCACATCCCTGACAAGGGCAATTCGTCTGGGCAGCATTTCTGGATGGGTTGATGGGATTATTTTTCTGTTCGCGAGCGACACAGAGCAACAGCGCGCCGTCAAGATACGAAGCAACGACGAAACGATCTAAATTACGGCCTAAGGGGGAGCCACAGCGACTGGGGCGCGTTACGCGGGGCTCAGGCGACGGAGCCGGTGAAGTCCAGGACGCCCGCCAGGCCGAGGGGGACCAAGGGGGCTACGATGCACACCGCTGATGGTATTACGCGAAGCGCATAGAATTTGCAGTGTTCCAGGGAGTCCGATTCGTCGGGGCTAGGAAAGTCGATAGAGTTCAATTCTCTTGGAAAAAGTATGCGGTGCAAGCTATTTGGTTCATGCTACGAGGTGAAATCTATGTGCGAAAGCTACGTGCGTCCATGCATGTGGTGCCAAACATGCATTTGCGCCTCTGAGATGTACTGTACGTGGTGCGAACTATGTGAGGCATTCGATGTGGTACAAGCTCGGCGTGAAAACTACGTTGTGCAAGTTGTGTGATGCACTATGCGTGATACAAACTATGCGATGCGAGCTATGTAGTGCACCCAACGCATAGTCCGCCCAGGAGGCTCCCACAGCTGGCAGCCAACCAGGCACCAGGCGAAACCCTGGGAGACCCACTCAACGCACAGGGCGCCCACGAGGCGCCCCAAACAGGCCACCAACCGTGCGCCAGGCGAAATCCTGGCGGACCCACCCAGCGCACGGGGCGCCCACGAGGCACCTGGCGAAACCCCGGCGTTCCCGCCAACCCAGCGCACGGGGCGCCCACGAGGTGCCCTCGATGGGCCACCAACCGGGCACCAGGCGAAACCCCAGCGGACCCACCCAATTACTAATCGAGACGAACCCCCAACTGCAAGAACTCACTCTGTGGAACTCTGTGTCAAAAGAATGCGCAGAAGGGATGAGAGCACACTGGCGCAATGGGGAAAAAAGAAGAGTAGTACCCACGGTACGCAGTTACGGAAGAAGAGGAGAGGGGGAACGGAGGGGGAGGAAGAGGAGGAAGGGGAGGGGGTCAGGCTCTCGGACATCAGGAGATTTCCAGCGCGCATGAAGGTGCCAGCGACCGTCGCTCCTCTGCCGCCACTGCCCCCGCGATGGCCGATGGCCTCAAAAGGGCCCTGCATGGGGTTTCAAACAGCAGCAGGATGCCCGAGGCCTCGGCTGCGGTGGCCCCCGACGGCCCTCCGGAGAAAGGCAGCCGGCCGACGCGTTGGCGGAGCAGCCGGCGCAGCCGCCCGAGGCCCTCCACACGGACCAGACGGCATCCCCCCCGACCTCTGGAAAGCATTGCGGTCTGACGCAGACGCGTGCGATATTCTTCTCAATCTTTGTAATGTGTGCTGGAGAGAGAAGACCGTGCCGAAGCGCTGGAAGCATTTCAGTGTATCCACTGTGTTCAAAAAGGGGGACGTGTCTCTGCCAGAGAACTACCGCCCAATATCGCTGTTGTCTGTTGGTTACAAAGTCATCGCCGCCCTCATCTTGCGCCGCATGGCTCAGGGAGGAGTTGAGGGACGCTTGCGGCCAACGCAATTCGGTTTCAGACGACGCCGTGGGGCCAGCGATGCGTATTTTCTTGTTCAGAGATTAATCGAGAAGGCATGGTCGACCAAGGGCGGCTGCCTGTCCGTGCTGCTGCTTGATTGGTCCAAGGCTTTTGATCGAGTGGACGCGGCTGCATTGGTCGTCGCATTGTCCCGGTTTGGCATCCCGGACGAGTATATCGATATCGTTGCAGATATTTACGACAACCGAACCTTTGACGTGCGCGATGCGCACGGGGAGTCTGGTATATTCGACCAGCAATCTGGCATAGCGCAGGGGTGCCCGCTGAGTCCTTATCTGTTCATCATCATGTTGTCCGTTTTGCTGACAGACGTCGAAGAAGTGATGGCGCGAGAATGTGGACCACTCGGTGAGGGGAATACTTGCTTAGACGTTGCGTATGCAGACGACGCCGCCTTGATATCTGATGAAATCCCTCGTCTGCAGTTTTTCTTACGCACTCTTGTTCAACATGCGTGGAGGTACGGTCTAGAGCCCAACTGGGGGAAAACTGTGCATTTACAAGTTCGGCATGCAACGCCAGTGCTCACATCCACCGGGGACCCGGTCAACACGACCAGTTCAGCTTTATATCTTGGTGGCCTCTTGAACGTTGACTGTAACGCGGGCGCGTCTCTGGCGCGCAGACTGGGGGAGGCCAGGGGAGCCCTTGATAAGTTATGCCTGGTATGGGGGCACGCGAACATCAGTCGGAGCAGAAAGATCATGCTGTTCAACGCGCGCGTAATTTCCAAGCTCTCCTACAGCATCGAGGCTTTGTGCTTGCGGAAAGCAGGGAGGGATAAACTTGATGCGTTCCAGGCCCAGTGTCTGCGCAAAATACTAAAGATCCCTCATTCCATGATCTCCCACGTGTCCAACCACAGCGTGCGGCAACAAGCCGGGCAGCACCGTCTTAGCAACCACATTCTCATGAAACAATTCGATCTGTTCGGGAAGCTTGGCAGCATGCCGGACTCAGCAGCTCGTGATGTAGTGTTCGCACCTGGGAGCGTGAACCCGCCGATCCTACACGGAAGAAGAGCGCGAGGCCGCCCCAGATTGACATGGGCTCGCGTAATGCATGAGCACGCGTCGCTAGCATGCTCGGCTTCTGGCACATCTGTGCGCGCCGAGCTCGGGCCGAACTATAGCAGGGCTCGGTGGAGAAGCGTTGCCCAGGCGTATGTTTTCTGAGAGGCTGTGCGTTAGAACTGTTGTAATTAGCCTTGTGCTGTTTAGCCGATGCGCCGTGCGGCGCGGCTCCACTACTACTGCTGCCCCAACTGCAAGAACTCACTCTGTGGAACTCTGTGTCAAAAGAATGCGCAGAAGGGATGAGAGCACACTGGCGCAATGGGGAAAAAAGAAGAGTAGTACCCACGGTACGCAGTTACGGAAGAAGAGGAGAGGGGGAACGGAGGGGGAGGAAGAGGAGGAAGGGGAGGGGGTCAGGCTCTCGGACATCAGGAGATTTCCAGCGCGCATGAGGGTGCCAGCGACCGTCGCTCCTCTGCGCCCACTGCCCCCGCGATGGCCGATGGCCTCAAAAGGGCCCTGCATGGGGTTTCAAACAGCAGCAGGATGCCCGAGGCCTCGGCTGCGGTGGCCCCCGACGGCCCTCCGGAGAAAGGCAGCCGACGCGTTGGCGGAGCAGCCGGCGCAGCCGCCCGAGGCCCTCCACACGGGCCCCAGGGGAGCCCGGGGAGGCCACAGGGGGGCCGATGGCCTTCCAAGGACCCCCAGGGCAGCCCGACAGGGCCACAGGCGCCAAGAGAGCCCCAAGAGGGCAAGAAGTCCCAGGGGGTCCCAGGCGTGGCTCAGAGAGGCCTGCAGGGGCCTCCCCACCAGAGGTGCCGACGTGTCGGGGGCCCATCGAGCTCACCACAAGGTCATTTGTATTGTCGTCCCCCTGGTGCGCTTCCCTTCTCACGATAGCTCGCCCACGAATCGTGTCAGGTGGGCTGATGATGTTAAGCAAAGCATCAACACCCATTGATGGGACGAGCGACTACATCGGAAGACAAGGAGCAGGGGCAGATGACAAAGCGGTCAGAACACTTAAGAGCACTCGCATGATGAGGTAGAGTACATCGCATGAAACTAAGCAGGCGAAACATGCGCGGACAACGAGCTTGCGAGAAGGCCATGCGTCGCCAGGGTCCTCTCCCCACATGCAGTCCCCAGAGCACGCTTCGTTGAAGTGACTCACGCAGTGCGCAGAGCCCTTCGCCCACGTCTCCACCGCGTTCCGAGAGAAGACCTCCAGGGGGCCGTGCAAGCCGAACTTGCAGTTGTTCAGATAAACCCCGCTGGGACTTGCGGCGTCCTCCATGTGGCGTCGCACCACCATGCGCAAACGGTCGGGGAAAAACACCGAGTCGGGGTCAACCTTGGCTGTCCAGCCGAAGTTGTGAAACGCTCCATCGCTAATAACCTTCACCCAAACAAGCATGAAGATCTCCAGATTCAGAGCAGTATTGAACTCGCCCCCGTAGCCGCACGTCAGGTTGCTGCCCACCTTCCCGGTGACCAGCCCGGGGGCCACCTCCACCTCGCGGCTGCTGTAGACGGACCAGCCATCGCAGGCGAAGATGCTGATGTTCCTCTACCAGCCTCGAACGTATCCCTATCCCTGAGATTGACACGCCAAAAGGCGATGACAATGTCTTGGGGATCCGCCCTGAAAAAATAAGGGAATCCCTAAGATTGGCATCGTGATGAGGAGGTACACAGCATAGGGATAGGGACATGTTCCAGGCTGGTAATTCCTCTGGTGCTGCACCTCCACGAGCCCGCGCTCGTAGCCCTCCGGCAGCATCACGGAGAAGCAGAAGAGGGAGTCGTCGCCGCCGCCGCCCGGCGGCAGCCCGGGGCGCCCCGCGGAGCCCTGCGCCCCGCCCGCGCCCGCGGGGCCGGCGCCGCCGCCGCCGCCCGGGCCGCCGCAGCGGAGGCCGGAGACGACGCCGAGCGTGGGGCGCCTCTGGGGCGCCACGCCGGGCTTCAGGCCCTCGGCGGGGGGAGGCGGGCGCTGCCTCTGCCCTCCTCCGCGCTCCTCGCTCCGCCGCGCCACTGTCACGCCTGCCCTCCTCCATCCTCCTCCTCCCCACTCCTGCCTCTGCCGAGCCTCCCTGCCTCCTCTTCCCAGAGAGGCTCAGGAGGAGGAGGGGGAGGGAAGCTCTCCCGGCTTTTCTGCGCCTCCAGAGGTCTTCTGGGAGGCCCCCAGAATTCCAGGAGAACCCCGGAGCCTCCCCGAAACAGTGAAGACCCCTGGAAACTTTCTTTCCGCTTTGCAATAGACATTTCCCCACAACACAATAATAGGGTGTTTACAGAGGTTAGTTAATGTGGCCCTCAACCAATGTTTCTACCAACCTGATCGGACAACAACGGGAAGCGCCGCTTTTGGGGCTCGTTGGGCGAAGAAGAAGAAGAAGAAAAAGGAGGCGAAGGCAACGAGGAGGCAATGACGAGGACGGCGTGGAGAACGTGAGAATAGACAGGTGGAGAATGAGGACAACAATGAGGAAGAGAGGCACAAGGACGAGAACGAAGAGAACGAGGACAGTACGAGGAGGAATTCGGAGGAAGATGACAACGACGACGACGACGACGACGACGACGACGACGACGACGACGACGATGAGCCGATGACGACGACGACGACGACGAGGACGACGACGACGACGACGACGACGACGACGACGACGACGACGACGACGGAGGACAGTAAGAGGAAATTGGAGAAGGGCCTTGAATCAGGGGAGGGATCTGGTGACCCTATCGGGCTACCCTGGGGGCTCCTGGCGCCGCGCGGGGTCGTATTGGGGCCTCCTTGGGGCGTCTTGGGGTCCTCGTTGGTCCTCTTGCGGGCTTCTGGCGTCCTCTTGGGCTGTCTGGGCGCGTCGTGGGAGTCTTTGGGAGCTTTCTGGGGCCGTCTCGGCACCATCTGGGGCCGCCTTTGGGGGCGTCCTTGGGCCGTTTGGGGGCCTCGCGGGGCGCTCCCGGGAGTCTCTTGGGGCTCTCTTGGCCCGTCTTGGGGCTCTTGTGAGCCGTATGGGTGCCTCCTGGAGCTCTCTCGGGGGTCTCTTGGGGTCCTCGTGGGGCGCTCTTGGACGCTCTTGGGACCCTTCGGGGCGTCTTTTGGGCCCCTTTTGGGCCGTTCGGAAGCCCTCCGGGAGCGATTCCAAGACGATGTCGATTCCAAGTCCCCTCTGGTGCCGAATTGTTGAGGATGTCTTGAACGAAACGGCCATGTTTCGGAAACCTGACCGGAAAAAAACACGGGAAGCGCAGCTTTAGTCCAATGGACTCCGTGGGCGAAGAAGAAGACAAGGAAGGCGAGGGCGACGAGGAGGCGATGACGAGGACGACGTGGAGACGATTTTTTGAATGTCATTGGGATTGACGATTCTTTGTGTCGGTGTCTTGCCCCTCCTGATGAATAGAAGTCTTCCGGGTTCCGTGTGGATACCGTGGATCGGCGAGGGACCCCCGCCCCCGGCGCGCTCCGCGCGCCAGGGGCGGCGCCAAAGGCGCCGCCAAGGGGCGCCCAGCGCCGATTCTGAAAAAATCCGCTCGGACCTCCGCCGAGGCACTACACGCCGCTGCCATTCGTCTCTGAACCGCAGGTTTGGGGGGCAGGAGACTCTCACGATCGTTCCTCGGGGGCAGGCAAATCGTAGTCGACGTTTTCCACTCCTGGTCTGCGGGGAGCTTGGCCTGTTTGCGCGCCAGGAAGGGGGAGCCATGTTGCCATGTTCCCAGGGCTTGGTTTTCAAGGCTTCGTCACCCGTCTGGAGGCTGCGGTCGTCTGTCGTCGGTCTGGGCGCTCTGGTCGGTCATCCTCGTGGACCTGTCCACCCGCGCTGTCTCTCTGCCTGTCTTGTCGTCTATCTTTGTGGATGCCACGACAATGTACACCCTGACAGTCCTACCATTGAATTTAAAAGGTGTTTGAGATGCAGGAAAGATGTTCTAAACATGTTCTAAACATGCTTCTACTTGTCTAAAACATGTCTGACACATGTGTTTAGACATCTGGGAATGATTTGGCAACATGCTTCCTCTCCCTTGATCGCCCTCCACAAAGCCTATCTGCTCGGGCACCTCCGCTGGGGGCCGGGCGCGTCCCCGTGCTGGCCCGCGGGGGGGGACCGAAGCAGAGCACGGACGCTGGTCCGCGGCGCCCGCCCGCCCTCCCTGGTGAGGCCTGCGTGTGCTTGGGGCGCACAGAGACAGACTGATACCAGATGTCCTCCTTGGAGGCGCGCGTCCGACCCGAACATATATAGTATACCATTGGTGTAGCATATCGTGTCCCGAGCGGTGTGGCCAGAAAGCGCCCACCACGACGCATATGCTATAGGATTTCTCGGTGCGCGCGTCGCCCCTGGGGGGGGCGACGCACAGATAGTAGACGTATGCTGGGGTGACGCCGATTTGTCGGTCAGGGAGCTTGTGGCACATTGCCCCAGGAGGGCCCCTGACCAGGTGCGATGGAAAGAGAGAGCCCTGTGCACGCACGAAGGCGTAAGCCCACGTTTCCTCCTTCGAGGCTGAGCGTCCTTGAGGAAGCACACGTCCGTCAGGCCCTCCACGCCCCTCTCGCTGCCCCAGGTCCAGGCGGCACAGCGGGCGTCCCCCGAGCACTCGTCCCGGCAGGCCCTCGCGGCCGAAGAGGGAGGGGTCGGCGGCAGCGCCATCCCAGGCAGAGCACGGGCGGCGCGAACGATGCCTCCTCCTCCACCTCCTCGGTTTCAGTTCCCCACGGTTGCTCGCTTCTCACCTCACGAAGTCCCCTCCTCCTCGTCCTCCGCCGCCTATCCTCCCCCCTGGAGGGGGTGGAGGAGGAGATGGAGATGAACACCTCCTCAAAATCCGCCTCCTCTGCTCCCTCCGCCTGCACTTCCTTCAACATATCCGCCACCGTGCCTCTCGAGGCACCTCAGGTCCTTCGAGTCCTCAGTCCTGTCCTGAATGCTGAAGAGTAAGAGGGCCTGAAATCCTAATTGTCGGAATCTCCGGGGCATGTTCGAAGTCGAAGCAGAGGGCCCAAAGGCAACGGCCCCTCCTCCATCCTCCATCTTCGCCTTCTCCTCCATCCTCCATCTTCGCATTCTCCGTCCTCCATCCTCCATCCTGCCTCCTACCTCTGCCCCGCCCATGCCCTCCCCCTCCCTCCCGCAGACCGAGCACTCCCTGGGACAATGGCAATCGCCCCTTCGCTCTAAGCTTCCGTCCTCCCTCGTCACCCGCCCTCCTTCTCAGCCTCCATCCATTCTGCCTCCTGACTCTGCCACCCCCAAGTCCAGGTTGGCTGTGATTCGCGCCCGCGGATACAGAAGGTTCGTGCGCGTCGGCGCGCGCAAAAAAATTGACACCGCGTCGGTCGTTCCACCTTGAACCGATCGTGGCCCCGATCGTGTAAGGTTGAATTCAGTCGGATCCAAAGGCGTTACCGTGTCAATCGGCGCTTCGCTTCCACGTCACAGAATTCAACCTTGAACGCATTCGCCGGCGTCGCCGGCGCGCCAACGCCGTAGGAACCTATCGTAAAAGAACAAATCAGCGCAATGGGAAGGGATGGGAGTGAGGGATAGGACGTCAGGTATGGCGCGAACGCACCCAGCTTGCCCCCCCCCTCTCCTCTTGGAGGCGGCTGGGCCCCGAGCAAAACTGTCAAGAGGGGGGAGTTAATGCAAATCTGCCCCAAATCGGTCCCCAGACTCCTCCCAGGTTCAACACCCTGGATCCGTCTTGGACGGTCCCATGGCCCGAACACGGCAACGGGAGACCGAAGAAGGCAACGAAAACGTCCCGAACCAAGAACCTCGAGCCTGCCCCCCCGTTCTGCTAACCGGAACCAGTGCTGGGCCACCTCGAACCCCCAGCCCACTCCAACTCTCCCCCCTGCAACCATACTGCGGCTTGGGCACTCGCCCCACTTCCGCGAGCGAACGGCCCCCGGGGGGCCAGGCGTGCGAGGCAACGCCCGATCTACTCCCCCTCCCTCTCCCTCCCTCCTTGGGACGCTGAACGACAAGCTGGTAACTACTGTGACTGTGCGGCCCCCTTGGAGGCGCACGTGCGAACCGCGCAACTGGTGCAAACATCTTGCAACATATCGTCACCCAGGCGGTGTGGCCAGGAAGTGCCCGGCTTCTCAGCGCGCGGGTCGCCCCTGGGGAGCCGACGCACACGGTCGAAGGTTGGGGGGTGAGATCGCAGTGGAGCGGAGGGCCCCGCCCCGCACCGGGAAGTCGGTACCGTCGGCCTTGATTGGACAGGACACGCGAAAGGACACAAGACCCATGCGAGGGCCACGTCGCAATGGGATTGTAGGAAGGCACGTGTCGCGAGGCACAGGACACAAGGGTACCCTTGAGCAGGCAGGGTCGACCTGCTAATCCGGGCCGACTGTAGCAAGCGGTAGCTCGCTCCTGTAGATGTGGGTGGTGGGTGGGACGAGTTTGGGGGGGATGATGAAGTTGACGATGGTGATGTGTGATGGTAGTTTGCACTGCTTGTGATTAATCAGCCTGCCAGCTTGCCGACTCTTGCCAGCGTTTTGTCCACTGGTTGCTTCGGGCCTCGGATCTCCCTCGATCGTTGTCCCTCCGCCGCCTGGTCCCCTTTGGCCCTCGCCTCGTGTCGTCTCGGCCCCCTCGGTCGGTCCCACTCGTCGCTGTGATAAGTGTTCGGGAGTTGGCGCTTGTCTCCAACCCGCGGCCAAAGTTAATTTCATTCACGACGTCGACCCCCAGAAGTCTCGACCCATTCCTCAGGACCAGTTTTCATCCTGGCTCAATCGTTGGCGGACCCGAGGCCCGGCAGATTGTAATGCATCTTCGGCAGACCTTGTCTGTCCCATCGCGCCGCGATCCACGTCGAATCCGTGTCGAATCCACGCCGAGCGCGTCGAATCCGTGTCGAAATCGTGCCGAATCCACGTCGAATCCACGTCGAAACCACGTCGGAGTTTAAGAAAAGACCGCCATTTGCAGCACGGGAAAGGCCCCCCGAAGATGCAAAGTAAGGCAGGGCAAGACGAAGCCAGGACGAGGATAACATCGGGTGAGGACACATCGAGAATCTCCCAGATCTGGCAGTTTGGGAGGATGTCTCAGAGCGTTCCAGAACGCTCTGGGAGCGCTCCGGAACGCCCTGGAGCAGATTAGGGGGCCACGTGCGAACCCTACACCATGCGAAATGCTTAAGAAATCATGGGTTAAGAAATTCATAGTCTCAGAAATTGAATAAAGCCCAGAACTTCTATCAAAATCTTGGGATTCACATTGAAAAGTTACGAATAATCGAGCCACGTGCGAACCCTACCCCTACCCCCCACGATTTCTGAGGGGGAGGGTGGGGTTCACTTCGCTCGGGAGCTCCCGCACGTCGTGAAGCCCACCCTCCCCCTCAGAAATCGTGGGGGGTAGGGGTAGGGTTCGCACGTGGCCCCCTACAGATCTCGCCTCGCCCTGGCCACGTCCGACGAGAGCGCCCAGAGGCGGAACATGGCGCAAAAACGCCCTCCGCCGCGCTCTTCTCGGGGCTGGGACGCCCCCGTCGGCAACCGTCGGCCCGTCTCACGAGGCTGCGCGGGAAGGACGCCAGGGCCTCGGAAGGCCATGTCGAAGCTTCTCGAGCGGGGCGCGGCCAGCGAAAGTGGCGAAGGATGGACCGAAGAGGCAAGGATGCAGAGGTTTTCTTTCCGCGCAATATGTTGGGAGAAGAAGGAGGGGCAAGTGGGAGGGGACGACCGCAACCACACTCGAGCAAAACATGCACGCCACGGCGGTACGCGGCAGTGCCCGCACCGAAGGTCACTCCGGCGAGAGGTCACCCTCGCGCCTATGAAGGGGCGTAAGGACGCAGAAATCAATACACACAAATAAAATGGTGCCCCATATTTTCTGGGTTTCTGTCTCTTCCCCCCCACTTCCTATAACTTTCCCATATTTTCTGGGGAATCGACGATTAATTGTGTCTGTATGTGTTTTGTTCCCTCCTGAGCCTAGTCGACCCCGCACCAATCGCCCAGCGCGTTCCACCACTTGCCAGAGCACCTGCTCGCAAAGGGCCCGAACCCGCCGCGGGGGCTCGACGACTCACTGCACCGAGGCGAACATGCGAGCGGGCACCCTGCGAGCAGTGGAGCGCGCTCGGTGAGCCCACGCGCGCGGGCGCCCGGGCTCCTCCCGCCCGCCACGCCGGGGAGCTCCGCCAGCTGCGCCTCGGAAGGGTATCGGCCCCGGGGGGGGGGGCCGGTAAGGCGGAGGGGCCGGCCTCGGGCGGGGAGCGCCGCCCTCCCCGGAGGAGCTGGCCTCGGGCTCGTCCCAGAGCGTGGGCAGGGGAGGGACGCGGTGGAGAAGCAGAGGCCAGAAGGGCAGCCCTCTCAAAAGCACGAGGGCCCTCCGCCGGCCACACCGCACAGAACATCCAAGGGCACCCTCCCCAGAGTGCACAGCGACATCCACCGGGCACGAAGAACAGTAGGGCACCCCCGAGCCGACCTCGATCTTACACGTCGGTCCGACTGTAGAAGGAGGAAAAACGGCAGTAGAGGAGGAAACAACGACAGAAACATGGACGTTCGACGCTGCTCGCGGAGTTGTTGAACTAGCGTGCGGCGCTAGTTCAACAACTCCGCGAAGGGGGGCGCGCCAGGGGCGGCGCGGCGCCGCCAAGGGGCCCCAGCGCAGCTCCAAAAAGTCCGCGCGGACCAGCATACATGTGTGTGCTTCTGCATTGTTTGTCGACCGATCATCCGTACCCTTAAGATTGGCAAGCGAATTGGCAATGACAATCTCAGAGATGCCCCTTCAGAAACTGGAGAGGATCCTTGAGACCGTTTTCGAGATGAGGCGATGCCAATTCGCCGGCCCAACGGGCCAGAGGCGTACTAAGATCTCCGGTAACTGCTAAATAATACTTCTACTTCGCGCGCGCGGGGCGGCTCCTGGGGGTCCCCGGACAAAAAGTACCCCGGGCGATCCCCGGCAGACTCGGGTCAGAGATGGTTTTCCTCCTGGGCGCCGCCCTCGTGGCCCTCCAGCGAGCCCCAAGAAGGGCCACGAGGCCGCCAAGAGCACTCCAAGATGGTTCAAGAGTGCTCCGAGATCGTTCCAAGACGCCCAAGATGGCCCCCAGACGCCCCAAGAGGCCTCCAAGAGCACTCCCCAGAGGACCCCAAGAGGCAAAATTCATGACTTTTCCGTAGGTTTTGGACAGATTTTGGCGTGTCCATCTTTTCGGCTTCCCGACGCCCCAAGACGGCCCAAGAGGCCCTCAAGATCGCCCCAAGAGGGCCCAAGAAGCTCCCAAGAAGGCCCCAAGATGGCCCAAGAGGGCTCCAAGACGGCCCCAGAGGCATCCAAGACGGCCCAAGAGGGGCCCAAGAGGGCCCCAAGCGATGCCCCAAAGGGGGAACACAAAACAAAACTTCGAGCCCTCGGCCTTAAGAAGCCCCCAGGAGGCCTCAAGAGGCCCCTGAGAGGCCCCAAAAGCCCCAAAGAGGCCCTCAGGAGGCCCCCAAGCGACGCTGAAGAGGCCCCCCAGCGGCCCCAAGAGGCTCAGTCATGCGAAATGGGCCGGCGGAATGAGCGAAGCGATTCAATAATAAAGACAGAGATATGCTGCAGGCTGGTAACGGACACAGCTCCGCGCCGTGAAGCTCCACCCTAGTCAGCACCCTGATAGCAGCAAGGGGATATGCTATTTCCGGGCAGCGGTCGTTGCCCGGGTTTTGGGACGGAAGTTGGGGCCCCAGGTACCGGTAAGGTTGTATTTCCGCCCCCTGGAACAACGCTCGTGTAAGGTTTTTCGAGGCTTTACATAATCTGTGATTACCATCATCATGTAGAATTTCTTCGCTCTCCCTTCGTCGTCGTCGTCCTCCTCCTCCGTCTTCCACATGAGTCCTTTTGAAGTCCGCATATGAAGGGAGTTTTGTAATCCGCTACAAAGGGAATCCTGATGTAATCCGCAAAAAAATCCTTTTGGAATCCTCCACAAAAGGAATCCTTGCGGAATCCGCAACAAAAGAAATTCCTCTGGAATCCGCAACAAAAGGAACCTTTTTTGTAATCCTCCACAAAAAGAATCCTTTTGGGATCCGCTACAGCAGGAATTCTTCTAACGCGAACGTGCAAGTTGACCGACAGCTCAAAGGGTACCAGGGAGACACGAAAAAAACTGATATGAATCTAACGTTTTTGTTTATGATGTTTTGGTTTGGTACCACCGCCACAAAAAGGAATCCTTTTGCCATCCGCAACAAAAGGAATCCTTTTGGAACCCGCAACAAAGGGAATCCTTCTGTAATCCGCCACAATAGGAATTCGTTTGGAATCCGCTACAAAAGGAATGAAGGAATTCTTTTGGAAACCGCTACAAGAGGAATCCTTTTTTTCGAATCTGCGACGATAAGAATCCTTTTGGAATCCGCCATAAAAAAATCTTCTTGCAATCCGCCACACGAAGAATCCTTTTGGAATCCGCCACAACCGGAATTCCTTTCGGGCGGACGCACAGGTTGACCGACGGTTCAGGGGGTACCAAGGGGAAACATAGTTTTTTTTTGGAGAAGAAAGAAAAAACAAAAAAAACAAAAAAAAAAAAAAAAAAAAAAAAAAATGGGACTATCACGTGTTTTACTGTGTTGTTGGGTCCTCGTTTTGAAAAGACGGTGGCCCGCGTCTCTCCTCCTCTCCTCCTCCTCCCCCTCCTCCTCCGCCCACCCATGTCGGCACACCCCTCACACGCTTCGTGGCCCCATAGGGAGCTCCACCGAGGGTCCCAGTGGGTGTGCCCGCATGCGTCCCGCACACCCATTTCGGCACACCCCTCACACGCTTCGTGGCCCCATAGGGAGCCCCACCGAAGGTCCCAGTGGGTGTGCCCGCATGCGTCCCGCACACCAATTTCGGCACACCCCTCACACGCTTCGTGGCCCCATAGGGAGCCCCACCGAAGGTCCCAGTGGGTGCGCCCGCATGCGTCCCGCACACTCATTTCATCACACTCTTCACATATTTCGTGGCCCCATAGGGAGCTCCACCGAAGGTCCCTGTGGGTGTGCCGCACGCGTCCCGCACACCCATTTCGGCACACCCTCACACGTTTCGTGGCCCCATGGGAGCCCCACCGAAGGTCCCAGTGGGTGTGCCCGCATGCGTCCCGCACACCCATTTCGGCACACCCCTCACACGTTTCGTGGCCCCATAGGGAGCTCCACCGAAGGTCCCAGTGGGTGTGCCCGCATGCGTCCCGCACACCCATTTCGGTACACCCCTCACACGCTTCGTGGCCCCATAGGGAGCTCCGCCGAAGGTCCCAGTGGGCGTGCCCGCATGCGTCCCGCACACCCATTTCGGCACACCCCTCACACGTTTCGTGGCCCCATAGGGGGTTCCACCGAAGGTCCTTGCGGGTGTGCCCGCATGCGTCCCGAACACCCATTTCGGTACACCCTTCACACGTTTCGTGGCCCCATCGGGAGTTCCACCGAAGTTCCCTGTGGGTGCTGCGCCCGCACGCGTCCCGCACACCCATTTCGGCACACCCTCACACGTTTCGTGGCCCCATAGGGGAGCTCCACCGAAGGTCCCAGTGGGTGTGCCCGCACGCGTCCCGCACACCCATTTCGGCACACCCCTCACACGTTTCGTGGCCCCATATGGAGCTCCACCGAAGGTCCGACTGGGCGTGCCCGCATGCGTCCCGCACACCCATGTCGGCACACCCTTCACGCGCTTCGTGGCCCCATAAGGAGCTCCACCGAAGGTCCCCGTGGCGCAATCCGCACGCGTGTCCACCACCCAGTACACCTCCGTCGGAGGCCGTCGGGGTTCCGCGCCTCCCTCGCCCGTCGTCGCTTTGCCCAGCGGCAAGAGCCTTGCCCGCTATCAGCCAGCCAGCTAGCTCTCTTTGCTGCGCGCAGCGGACGACCCGCGCGCGTCGCTGGGACCCCTCCGGGGCGACCTGCGCGCGTCGCTGGGACTCCGCGCTGCGCTGCGCCCGCAGCTTTGGACTTTGAGTGCGCGGACAAAGAGGGAGTAAAAGAAGGGGAGGAAGCGGGCGCGATCCTCGCGGTGGCGTCGCGGCGCGCGGGCGATGCCGTCGGGGAGTCCCGGGGAAGCTCCTTGCGGCGGCCACGTCCAGCGTCACGAGTACCCAGAGGCAGTCATTCACAAACGATTAACATTCATATACAATTGCACCATGCATTGGAATACTCGCATTCGTGCACGTAGACTCGCTCGCACGCAGATTCATTCACAGTCAGACGCACTCGCGCTCAGATTCACCCGCGCTCAGTCTCCCTACGTACTCAGATCAATCGTTTTCGCTCGCGTTGTGTACCACGCCATTCATGTGGGCACACCACTAGCACGGTTCGTTGCCCCATAGGGATCACCACCGAAAAAAGGAATGACAATTGCGGTACTCACACCTGCATATGGTTGGGTCCTTCGTCTGGCTAATTTGGTTGGGTACCACCGCCTCTAAAGGAATAAGTTTGTAATTCGCCGCAAGAAGAACCCATGTGAAATCCGCCACAAAAGAAATTCTTCTGCAATCCGCCACAATAAGAATCCTTCTGTTATCCGCTACAAAAGGGAATAAAGGAATTCTTTCGGAAACCGCTACAACAGGAATCCTTTTGTAACCCGCCATAAAGCGAAGTCTTTTGGAATTCGCCACAATTCGAATCCTTTTGGAATCCCCCACAAAACCAATCTTCTTGTAATCCGCCACACAAGGAATCCTTCTAGAATCCGCCACAAAACAAATTCCTTTTGGGGCGGCCGCGCAAGTTGACCGACGGCTCAAGGGGTACCAAGGGAGAAGAAAACAAAAAAAAAAAAAAAAAAAAAAAAAAAAAACCTGGCGAAGGACCCAACCATATGCAGTTGTGGGTACCGCACTTGTGAAAAGCTTCTTCGGTGAAACTCCCTATGGGGCCACGAAGCGCTGCACTGGGTGGGGGGGAACGCTGTTCTGGGTGAGTGGTGTGTCAAGTAGGTTTCCTGGACGCTTGCGGACGGTCCCACTGGGGGGTTCGGTGGAGCTCCCTATGGGGCCACGAAACGCTGTACTGGGTAAGCGAAAACGCCACATTGGGCTTCCGGGGCGCATGCGGACGGTCCCACTGGAGGCTTCGGTGGAACTCCCTATGGGGCCACGAAACGCTGTACTGGGTGGGCGAAAATACCAAATTGGGTTTCCGGG